TTCCACGAAAATGGGAGCGATTACCAAACACCCCCGAGTTTGGGCGATTCTAAGCATGTAGTTCATTGTGACTGTTAAACAAAGTAAGAAATTTTCAGTGACTGAAAATAAATTTCATTCACTATCTCATAGTTAATACATGCTGCTTTAATTTCTTGAAACGAACTTTTTGGTTTCTGAAATAATTGTTTTTTACAAATTTAGACTGTTTATATTAGCAATCAACCTATCACGAAGTTGAGTTTCCAAATCGTCTCCGAAATCACATTTCGCGGTCGGATTCTGTGGTTCGAATATAAAGTCTTTAACTTTCTGATTATTCCGTCGCACCATTTTGTGAAACTTAGGTCTCTCCCTGCATTCATAGCTATCACACCGGGCATGGCTAATCATTAATTCCCTGGGAGATCCGTATGACAATGAAGTTGGCTTCTCTAGAAAAGCCCGATTCTGCAGTAGCTTATATGCTTTTTGATAATGTCAAGAAACAATCTGTGAAATTATCATTTTTAACATCTTTTCTATACATGAACCAGATTTTGAACCTCTCCATATAGTCTTCAAAACGGAGATAGGAGTCATTTGAGACTGAGATGTCAGTTGACGTCGTTTACGTCTACTTCAGCAAAGGATTTGATAAGGTCCCGTGTGGTAGATTCCTTATGAATGTGGAAAATCTAGGAATTTATGGACCCCTTATGTTATAATTGTATTTTTTTACTATATAAACGACCCAGCTATTCTTATTGCTTAGTATTCTTATACGATGACACTCAACAAGACCCCAAAATCAGAACACGTTGAACAGGAATGAAATTGTATTCAAAATAATAATGATAAGTGAACAGCAATCAGCAATCAATAGTTTAAATATCGTTCATATATTTATAGTATATGCATAAGAAGCTTATAGATTTTTCTGCAATAATATGCCCGGGTTGATCGGTTTAGAACTAACCAATCAGCGCGCAGCAACACCATCATGCATAAAACATGCTTAATCCAATCTATATCCCACTAACACCTCCCACTTGAGCAAATTCCTAGGATCTGTTGTTAGGGTCCAACTGCAACCGCTTTACTGGTTTGCGCTTCCGGTTAGTCCATCTTCTAGGTAATAAGGACGTTGTATCATCCTTCGTTTGCGCCTTGACTGTCCTGTCTGTTTCAGGTGTTTTGATCTCAAAGGTGTCTAGCAGAACATCAAGAGGTAATCTATGCTGCGTTTCGTCGTTGGAGATCGAGGTTGATTTCAGTTGGTTAGCATGACGCACCCAGATTTCTGAACCAACGGACACCTCGTAAACCACATTTCCTTTCTTTTGCACGATCCGACCAGCTATCCATGTAGGATGTTTTCCTCGATAGTCCATAGCAAGTACCTTTTGACCCACACTGAACAATCGTTTTTGTGCCCCATGATGACTATTGTACTGTTTCTCCATCATCACGTTTCGTTGCGGCTTAAGAGCTGGAGTCGGACGAATGCTATCAAAATGTGTACGTATTTTTCTGCCAAGTAACGCTTCCGCAGGGGATACTTCATTTGTTGTCTGAGGGTTCGGTGTCGAACGGTGTATAAACAAGAAAAAGTATGTATTTCAGGTGTTATTGATGGAAACCAATGGTTAGTCTAGTACTGCAAGTCTCTCTTTTATATCCTTTACATTTTACCCTACCTGTAAATAAACTCCCATTTACCTCAATGTATCGAATATTATTTTATGCTGATGGCGTCAAAATAGGGTGGAATGTAGCAAGTAGTGTAGATGCACGTTCATCCCTGACTGATTTAGATGTTCCGCTTAGCCGAAGCCTATCGATGTGTCCAAGTGTGTCTACATGAATATCAGAGATTAAAAAGTGAATGAATTCAGCATTGGAGAAGCTTCAGTGCCTTTAGACCTGTCTCACATTGATTTAGAGACAGTGACGAGCCACAACAGCATATTTCCATGCGATTTCATCCAAGGGGTTCAGAACCATCAGGGCCTTAAGACGGATGTTTACCAAGTTGGGCACAAGTACGTCCACCACGGTATACACAACCTTGGTGAGGTCCAAACTTGAAAACTGCATTTAAGCTGCAAGCCCCTGTTTAGGATATGACCTTGGTGTCTTGAAAAATGTGAAAAGGATAGCCAACTGTGCGATTACAGGATTTCTAGAATTGCCATACATAGGGTGGCATGAGAAGTTAGATTTCCTTACCCCCGTCTTACCGTGTATACGGAGATTGCCTGACTTTGATGCATAGAATACTTAGAAGTGTTTTCGAGCCTGACATATCTACTCGCTTTTTCTCGAAAAGTCTAGGAAAATTCGGAGGACATGATAAAGGGGTTTGAAATAGAGGAACAAACAAAATATATGTGGCGTGCAGGTTTTCACACTGAGCCGTCAAGTCTTGGGGCCTATTACATAAGCAGCGGTGTTAGAACTTTCAGTTGACCTATCCAGTAGAACGGAGCCCAAGGAATAACACAGGACAGTGGCCTTCTATCTTCAATACACAAATATGAATCCGAAAAATCAAACAGACACAACTCAAAACTAATCGGTCTCCAGCCACAATCCTGGTTCGATGGAACAAACCTGACAATGTGAGTCTATCAACCTGCTAAATATGTTCCGAAGTAGTGTCCCTTTAAATCGTTTACAAATCAAAACGTACTAGGCCAATACATCACAGGCATTTTGGATATTGGACGGCGCGTATTAAGATGATGTGCGTATCAACCTAAAGGATGTTCGGACGAGGGAAAAGTAGTCTCTCGAAGCCAAAAAAGGTTCATTCTCTTGAAAATTTGAGGTTAGTTCTAGTTGTACTGGATTTTTCAATGTCTTTCAATGGTATATTCATTACTTCATAGTTCATTTAATTACGTCTAATTAATTCTGTATGAAATATGGTGTGCGGCAAAGCAGTCTCCTATTAGTCTTCAAAGAGCTGTTTTCTTGTCAAAATTCCGTGTACAACTTATCTTTCGCTATCGAACAGGCAGATTAGGTGGAAATCTTACTGTTATGTAAAGTTTTGCATTTGATCTGCATTCCTAACTAGTCACAGACGTTCTGAGTATAGTCGGCGTTTTAATTTAGACTCTCAAAGACTTGCAGCGTCGGAGTTGCTTCTTTTCTTGACATTTGTGGAGTCTTTGTCCATAAATACTGTGGAAACTGTCGTAAGTGCTTCATTATGGCGTTTGTGACTTATAAGTAGCCGAGGGATATACTGTTTTTTAATCCTTAGTGAGTAAATGCCTTCAGCAAACATAGTCTTTTAGGATGTTCAAAATGGACTTAATACTTGACTAAACATAAGTTATGTACAACCAACATATACATTCACTTTTTAAGTTTTTTTCGGGGAGACTATAATTTGTGGACGAACCAATCACGTATAAGATAACAGCTCTCGGATTTTGGCGCGAAATTTACTCATCCGTTTGGCTAAATAAAGTTTTGAGATTATAGCCGATGTCAGTTCGTGGTGAAAACCCTGAATCTAACTCTAACCTTAACCATAAATTGTAAATCACAGGTTTATAACCCTCATTTGGTCCTGGTTATTAGACGGACACTTTTAAGGTCAGTCTAGCGTCGCTCAAAGGCCGTCCGTAAATTATAGTCACTGTTTTTTCAGCGGAAGATTAATCATCCTATTGTGGGTGTATCGTCGTCGACCAAAGTCCCTTCGGTTATCGTTGTCACTCAGTTTTAGCAATATAGCATGGTGTAGCTTCATCGTTTTTCTGTTTAGTCTGGAATCTCAGGCTAGGATATTCGTCATAAATTTCCCTACGACCTGCTGCACATAAGACAAAATAATTCAGTTTCAACTACCTAGTAACACCCTGTTAGTTCATCCTCATTTGTTGAATAGGGTCATAGATATTTCTCAGCTCAGTGGTGTAAGATATCATCTCAGGTGACAAAGAAAAGAAGTCTGTATCTATGTCGCAATATTTTGTTGTGTTGCTTATGAACTGTAAAATATCTTGTTACTGGATGAGATGTATCTTGGCTCCGCTAATTTTTGAACTGTGTTGTTCAGCATCTAATCTCATTTTCTGTGTATTATATGGTTTTTGGTTTGGTTTTACCCTCAATATTTTTATTTCGATTTACGCAACTCATACCTTGGTGTCTTATCGCACCAAGTTTGTTCTGTTATAAATAAATGACATAGAATTGTGTTGAATTTATCTTCGAAGTCAGGAGGAAAGCGGGAATCTAAACTTTCCAGTTTCAGTCAAAAGTCCTACTGTTCTGTTCTAAAATACTACGTGTCATGTTAACATGGGACCACTAAAAGTGATATACTTAATCAGTGAGTATTTTCATTCGGTCGCCTGTCGATCATCCTATTATGTTCATGCTTGGAGCTGATATACGAGTTTGGAACAGCTTGGGCTAGATTTCTTCCCCTTTTTGGAAATTAGATGAAAGATGGTCCACTTGCGTTAATTTGGGAGATTTTACGAGTTCACCGACTTTCAGAGCAGGTTCCAGGTAGGTGTACAAAGCATGTTTCTGAACTACCTCGGGGTTGACGGACGTATTTCATTGACGTCTCCCAAACCGGTCGAAAACCAGGTTTACCTGTTTCCCAGTAATAAACCAGCAGTTAGATATGTTATACGGGGCCTGTCACCTCAGGTATTTAAATATCAGAGTTCTCGATGTACTTGTTCGGTTCAGTTGTGTAAAGTGGCATTTAAGGAACTGGGTCATTTCCAGACCAACCATTAGGATATGATGATTTAGAGTACCTAGTTTGTGGATTCATCTGTTCTATGAGTCATATGTTTCAGGGTTCTATTAAGAGTTTTAACACAAGGTCGGTCAAGAAAGATCCCATATTCTTACACACTTCTTGTTCAACTGATATCTCACCTTCTTGAACTCTATCTACTTCGGGTTGGGAAACCGGTTGATATCATTAGCTGTCACAAGAAAATTGTAACATGATACCTAGTACATGAAGTCATATACACTAAATGAGCTCCACTCAAGAAATTGTAACTTTGTGGTCAAAGGACCAGGTTTCTTGTCATTGATTTGCAAGTTGAAAACCCCTCTACTTTAAATCAGGGATCCTGGCATTACCGCTGGGCCTCATTATAAAAGTATGGCTAGGTCAATTATGTGGTCTCCTACTTGACTAGTGAGTCATACCAAATTACGACATCCCCTTGTAAATAAATCATATTTCTGTAAGCCACTTGTTGACCACGTATTTCTTACGTAAATTGGAATGTCCTGCTTTACTACACATAAATCTTGATAGAATTCATACCCCAGTTGATCACATGTTTTTTGCTACAGTTTAAAAAAAAATTCAATTAATTATTTCTTCTGAGTAGTTTAATCAAGGTTGACCTAGACTCAGCATTTGATTTACAATCTATTTTTATAGATATCTTCATTCCGTATTACAAAAGAATCGAGCTGTTAATGAACAAAACTATGGGATACTGGTTGAAGCCCTTCGATTAATTGCAGAAATATTAATCTGGGGTGATCAAAATGATAGTTCGGTCATGGAGTAACTTTCTGATTCACTTAAAAAGATATTATTTAGCTTTTTTCTTGAAAAGAATATTTTGGAATACTTCTTGCAGTATATGAAACAAGATTTAAGTCGAAGAATATGTGTTCAGTTACTACAAACTTTAAATATTTTATTTGAAAACATAACAAATCAAACAGCCATCTGTAAGTATTCGTTTGCCTTCTTATTTGAAATTTTTTTTACAGATTACCTTTTGTCAAACAATCATACAAATGCTATTATTACTCATCGTTTTGATTTCGCCGACGAAGAAGTAGATCCACATAGCTATTTATCAACTCTTTTCTATCTCTCAGGTGATGGCTTATTATATTTCCTTCCTAAAAATATTATCCTTTCGTCTCAACGTAAATACAATCAGCTTTTTCTACATTGAGGTAATGCTTTTTTAAACACGCATTAAAAAACTGTTCATTATCATCATTATATTATAGTCTCGTCGAGAGTTTGATTTATATGTTGAAGCGATTAAATTGTTCGCTCACCCAGAGGGTATGGTTCGTATTGCTGTACGTACTATCACTTTAAATGTACATAAAGGTGGGGTTTGTCATAATTGTTTTTCGTTTTGTTTTAATTCATCTTTTAACCAATATGTTCTTTGTTGTTAATAGTTAAAGATGAAGCTGCTTTGGAGTTTATTCACCATCAGACTTCATTAATTTATTTCTCACATCTTGTGTGGTCAATAGGTAATACAATATTAGATATTGATTGTCATAAGTAAGTGATATTTTTTTGATTGTTTATAATGCACATTGTTCTACATATTTTTGCCCTTCTTTTCATATATTGGTTACGTTGATTGAAACAAACCAGTCAGTTGTAAAAACATCTAGTACGTCGTTCTGCTGTGTGTAGTATTGAGTTAACAGGATATGTGAATAGAAAGGAAAATAGAGGAAAGTTCAATGCGTAGGATATAAGCTATCGGGAATGAGTTTTATATGACAATGCGTAGATTTTCTCTGATTGTTAGATTATTAGGAACCTATGGTTATGAACTCCCAGTTGATGTTTATAGATGAATTCGTTCTATTTGAGCAAAAACGTTAAATAACCAACTGTTATCATCCTATATGTAATTTTTAGCTTTTGTTGTATACTTGTATCTTCGTCTAGATCTATTTTACTTTCAATACCAACTTTATGCTCTTATGAATCAATTTGTTAATGTTTTTAAAGTTACATGATTTCTGGACCATTTCGATATTGGAGATTAATTCAGATTTTTCAAAACTATATATAGACTTGGATTCTTCAATAGATATGGTTACAATGTAGTAGTTGTTCTGAAAATTCTATACCTTATCTGGTGGATGAATGGATTGAAATCGTAAATAAAGCGAGAACAGTATTTGCAGAATAAAATGAATTCATTATATTTCAAGGCTTCTCATCAGCTGCAAACGGCCTAAATTCACAATCGAAATATTGTCATATAAATACTAATCAATTTTAATTATTATGTTAAATATATTGTTTCCTCTTGTTTAAGGCGTTTCGATTTAAACTTCATTGATTATGGTGTGTTATAACACTTTTATTATAATGTTTCAATTGTAAACTATGGCCGTTCGTAGCTGATGAGGAGCTTCGAAATATAATGAATTCATTCTATTCTGCAAATATTGTCCTCGCTTTTTCTTAAGCTTATCAAGGGGTCAGGATGTATGGGAGATTGAAATCCATTGTGTTTAATAATTTGCTAGTTGTTTTTAGTTCTCTTTAGTCCCGTCTCAGAGATTTTAACGACCTGTTCCTGAATCTTATTTCGCCTAATTCAGTTCTAACGGCCTGGTAGTATCATTAGTTTTCACTCATAGAAATTGGCTACGCTTAGAACAAAAATTTATACTTGGTTTTTGAGTTGTATTGCAGTAATTAAAATGGACCGTTTAATAAATTTATATTTACTAACGAAAACTCACTGAAAATTTAAATTTAGTGGCACATTGATTTCTTGTGAACGTTTAACACTAAATTAACTGTACTATGGTATTGTGTCAAATTCCGTTCGTAACTGGAAGAACTATTCATTAGAACAATAAGTTACGATGATTGCTTTCCATCAAACATTCAGTAGGTTGATATACTACACATAAATCTTGATAGAATTCATACCCCAGTTGATCACATGTTTTTTGCTACAGTTTGTACAGTTTACCACTGATAGTAGCCTGTTGACTGAAGTTGTTGAAAACTGTTGGGATACCTGTTTGTGCACATTCTTCCTGTTGTTGCTTAAGATCATTGATCAATATCACGAGTTAAACTCACTACTCTGAATTTTAAATCCAATTTTTATCTATGCCGCGTCTACTATTTCTTCTGTGTCCTGGTGTCCTAGACTTGTCCACTTACACATCTGGTCAGCAGCGTCAACCTTGGGTCGACGCAGAGTAAGTCCTGATTGGTCTGCTATACTCAAACCTTCTCTATCCGTTGCCTCGAGTCCAAGGACAAGTCAACAGCCAGCCTCCGTTATTATTTCAAACATACATAGGCCTACATATAAACATACTGGGCCTTATCGTACCTTTAAACTCAAAAATCACAGTTATAAATAAGCCAAAAGTGGTTGTGAATAGGGCAAGCTGCGAATAATCGATCGGTAATAAAATAGGAATTATAAAGAGTACAGTGATAGATAGTGGGTTATACGAAAGCTTAAGATAAACACTATATATATATAGCCCAGTTACCCAGTAATAATACAATAATAACATTACAATAATTAGTTCAGAGAGTTACCATTTCTTCAATTTTCATCCGGATACATCCTTCCATATTACTTATGTTTATGCTTTAGTCATATCATGTTTTCATTTCACAGTAAATATGTTTGTCTTAAAATATTCATTCAATATTTGGTACGGATTTATTAACAATAGATAATTTTTTTTGTTATTACTTAACAGATGTCAAACTAAGTTGAAAGATTTGGTTGCAGAACATATTGATCATTTACACTACATAGATGACTTGTTGTCATTGGGTATAGAAGGTTTAAATGAAGTACTGTGTGACCAGTTACTGAGAAGATTATTTATACCATTACATATCTACTCACTATTTAAGCAATATAAATCGGATGCAACAACAAATCTAGGGACAGTAAGTTGACAAATGTTTTTCCTCTGTAGCTTGAATATATATGTGATGGAAAAAAGAAACTACGCGTTTTAATTTCCATATAATATATATTCTTCAAGTTAACACATACCCGTCCACCGTTTAAGTAGGCTTAATCAGGTTTTTATTGTGTACTTTCTGTGTGTAAGAACTAATAGTTGATGACATCATAGACTAAATTTCGTGTCTTGGGTTTACCACCCTAACACATTTATAAAACTAGTCCCGTTTCAGCCAGCTACTTATAATCAACAAACTCAAAAGCTCATTTTGAAAAGAAAACGGATTTATGAAGTTTTATGCTGCGATTTAACTGTAGGTAAGTATTTTCGCTCCTCCGATGATTTGTAAAACACTAGGAACCATATAGCTGAGTAAATTTCAAATGAAACATTGCAACAAAAACAGTTCATCTATTTTCTTATGAATTTAAAGGCGTTTTAGCTTCATTCAGAAAGTAACGTCTATTATAATAATCAAAGTAACTGTGGTGACCATGTGAGAGCATTTCTAGAAGAAGAGCGGACTCTCCTCACTCTCGGCCTTACCAGGGCATTTGGGGGCAAAACATTGTGATGGAAAATGAGTGCTCACGAGCCCATGGAGTATATAGCTCAGGCTCTTCGTGTCTTATAGTTAGCACAAATTCTTTGAACCATTGAGTGGTTCCTATATTGACATGGTGATCGGCCTTGCTTATTGTAATTACTCAATCGGGCTATATTGGGGAAAAAGTTTTCCTTTAGGTTCTACCATGCCAGGCAGATCGGTTGGGGAGCGATAAGAGTAAATGCAACAAGATAATTGTCTGAGAGCAAAGTCATATTGCTGGATGTGACGAGGTATGGGGGCAGCAAGGTGTTCCCCCAGACAGTCACCGCTTATTGCGAAGTTGCCCCACAACAGAAGGAAGGAGCTAGAAAAGACTGGCCCTAAAAACATCATATCTCATTTTAACTCACGGCTTTCCGTCTCCGATGATAAGGCCTTTTGAAGCACGGAGCTAACACTTTACAAACTTCTCACAGGAAGGTCGTGTATAACCGGCCTCAATCAGTTGTCCTTTGGACTCCTCGGTCACTCTTCCAGTTCATTAAGACTACCCATAACCCAGTTTCCTTCTCAGGTCCCCCAAATGCTTTGGTACGATCGAGAGTTAGCCCTCCCTCTCAAAATGCTCTTACATGGCCACGCGTATACAACCACTGTCAGGGAAGTCCTACTCACTGCCTTCTTGCGACGGTGTTTTTTACGAAATTGAGAAAACGGAAAGCGTGTGTTTGGCTCTTTAACCGGATTGGTGGGTATGGGAGATCCACCTAGGGGAGTTGGGAAACCCTAATTCTAAACGAACGGTGCACATGAGCTCGTTTCCTGAGGGAACAAATGGCGTATGAATAAATCGTTAGTCACCTGCTACCATGGGACTGCATCTTCTTACGATGCTCCATTGCCTTGTTGATTAGACCTCTAGGTCAAAGACTCGAGGAGCAGCCCCCTAAGAAAACCACCTGCCTCGGTTTGAATGTCCTGGCAAGTACCCCAGCCCTCACACAAATCATTTGATTTGTGTGGCGCATATGTATTTTGTGCCTCCTTGTACCAACATTTATGTGTTTAAATAAACACCGTTGAATGCCGGCTCAGTGGTCTATCTGTTAAGGGCTTCGGCTCGAGACTGGTAGGTCCTGGGTTCGAATCTCGCGAGTTTGGGATCGTGGATGCGCACTGCTGATGAGTCCCATAATAGGACGAAACGGCCGTCCAGTGCTTCCAGGTTTTCGATGGTGGTCTAGCTTCAATGGACTCATGATTTCAACTGTGAAAATACTAAATTCTCCACAAAACCCCCCTCTGATTTAAATAAATAAATAAATTAGGTCTTTCAAGAAGAAATATCGTTTTACGGTTTGGGCAACTGGAGAGTGACAACTGCCCCCGTACCCCTAACATTACTAGAGATCCTTTTGTTCACTATCAAATCCCTTCTTGATGTTCCTTCTATCTCCACCGCCAACCCTTCTCCCATGACTTTATCCCCATGTGCCACCGATGCTAACTACTCGAGTCTACGAAATGTTATTGCTGACCTCTTAAAACTGCCGTCTAAACTATATGTTAGAGCTTTCAGTATTCATATCTTATGTCAAATAGGTCCTCAGACTTGTATTATATCTTGTGACCGCAGATCGAAACCATGTGACAAGTTGCTAATCAGAATCCTGATTATAATTCGCGTCTAATATTACTCTGTAGCTTAGTATCTCCTCTGACAGCCAATTATAAATTGGACCAGCACTACTAACCTTGAGTCAGCAGCTAAGTTCCTATTAGTTCACTATTCTCTGACTTCTCTATGTGTCTTTTCTTTGAGTCTAAAAGTCAGCAACCAGTCTCTACTGTATCCATGTTTTAAACAAACTCAGTTTATATACAAACAGAATAGACCTCACCACACTATAAAATAAAAGATAACTTCTGTGCATAAACAGACCAAAAAATGTTTGTTAAGGAAGACTGTGAGTAATCGACTGGCAGTAGTTAATAGGTCAACCGATAGCTTATGATAAGTGGAATATATAGACAAAGTAGTCTAGTTACAGAATAGTTATATAGTAAGAGTATATGTAGTATTAATCCATAAATTAGTTCTACGAGTTGCCGTTTCTTCAATCATCGTTCTGATAAATCAGCTCCCTTAGCTAGGACTCTAGAATCTTGTGTCATCGATGTATGCTTGGTTTCCGAGGTGCATATACAGGATTCAAATGCGGTCATTTATTTGATTTCACCTAGTCAGTACAGAAAGCAGTCGCGATTTACACTCTTTGTATCTGGAGACTTGATTGTCACTTCTCATGGCTTTAATGGCGTAGGGATAACACTACGACAGGATCCCCTAGACTGGATTCCAATAGACAGTCGTTTGTAGGCTGTCTGACTAAGTCAAGAAGTAAGGACTTGGAAGGGGACAAACACCGTGGCCTTATTATCTTCCCCGTTTGCGCTCACACTGCAGTTCGGATAAGGTGAAGGTTGAGTTTTATAGAAAACTATTTGCTCTCCCGTAAAAAGCCATATGCTCGGACTTATTAATTGTAGCAGGAGATTTTGACACTCAAGTAGGTAGTGTAGACCAAACTGGAAAACATTTATATGTGTCTTACAGTGTCCAAGCTTGGCGAGCAGATAACGATGACCGGCTGCTGCAACGATGCTCAGACAACCGTTTATTCTTAGCAAGCACTAACTTCAAGTATAAAGAGGGACATCGTCTGATATGGTGACCCTCACTGTCTACTCAACGATAGGCACAATTCGACTATATCATCATGAGCCACTTTTGGAGTGACCCGATAGAAGACTGATTTTCATTCTGGAGCATATATCCAGACTCTGGTCTTGTTCTAGTACGATCACGCATTCGTTTGCATCTTACTAGGCGTAGAAAAGCCACAACAAGAAAACCCCCTAGAGCTCAACTTGATGATGAAAAAGTTAAGAGTATATTTCAGGAACAACTGGAGAGGCAGTTTGTTGATTGTCAAAGTACTCTTCATCCCTACATGGTTCGGAATGATATGCAGACAATCGTGAAACGAGCAGTGATGTCTACGAGTGACTCTAACTAAAAGGTTAGAAAAAGAATCGGTAGATTTCAGTAGTGTCTACTGAACTGTTGGATGCTCGGAAACTGATCCCATCAGGCTCTGAACATGATGAAAAGCGAAAGTCAATTAAATGTAGACTCAATCTATGTTGTTTGGAATGGTCATGAGGAGTAGTGGGCAGCGAAAATAAAGAAGAAAATGTCGAAAATAAGTAACAACACATAACTATTCAAATTTATCAAAGAAACAACTATTAAAAATTGGGAAGTTATGGAGATCCACTCTCAACCCAAGAGACCGAAACGATTAAAAAAACACTTTCAAAACTTTTTTCTATCTACCCTTCAGTTGGCTGCTTTTATCAAGCAACCTGAATGGGATGTTAGAATATGCTGTCCAACTCCTAAAGAAGTAGGAAAATCCAAAGCTAATCTTAAACGACGGAAGGAAAAAGGTCAAGACGAATTAAGTCCTGAGATTTTAGAGATTATGGTCCAGTTTTATCTGTTAGGTTGACTGAAATGTTAGCTGGACGTAATCCCATTTGAGTGGTCTCCATTGCTGGTCGTTCCAGTCTATGGGAAAGGACAAAACTATTATGATAATCACAGAGAAGTCAATTCGACTGATGTAGTTTTTGAAATATTAACCCCAGTACTCATTCAACACTTGACTGGGGTTTGCTAACAGTTAATTTTGGAAAACCAAGCTAGTTTTAGACCAGAACATAAATGTACTTATTCACACCTGTTACTCGTGGAGGAGCATAGGCCACTAACCAGCATTCCTCATCCAACCTTGTCATGGACAATCCTTTGCAGTTCTTTCCAGTTGATATTCATCCTTTTCATCTCTGCCTCTAATTCCCGACGCAGTGTGTTCCCTGGTCTTTTTCTTTTGGCTTCAGGATTTCAAGTTAGGGCTTGCCTCGTGATGCAGTTTGGTGATTTCCTCAACATATGTCCGATCGACTCTCAACATCTTTTCCTAATTTCCTCCTCAGATGGAACCTAGTTTGTCTTCTCCCACAAAAGGCTGTTACTGATGGTATCTGATCAATGAACATTCAGTATCTTGTGTAGATAACTGTTTATAAATTCTTGTACCTTGATGATTATGATGGTTCTCCACGTTTCATCTCCGTACAGTAGAACTGTCTTGACTGTCTTCGTAATGAAGATTGTGACTTTGATATTGGCTGACAGTTGTTTTGAGTTCCATATGTTCTTCAATTGTAGGAATGTTGTTCTTGCCTTGTCAATCCTCGGCTTTATATCTGCATCAGATTCTCCTTGTTCACCAATGATGCTTCCCAGTTACGTGAATGTTTCCACATCTTCCAGAGTTTCTACATCAAGTGTGGTTGTGTTGATGTTCTCCGTGTTGTATTTGAGGATCTTGCTTTTACTTTTGTGTATGTTGAGGTCTATTGATGTAGATGCCACTGCTACATTAGTTGTCTTCGTCTGTATTTGTTCGTGTGTATGGGATAGGAGGGCTATGTCATCTGTTAAGTCCAAATCGTCTAGCTGGATCCAATCTGTCCATTGTATTCCGTGCTTTCCCTCAGATGTGGAGGTCTTCATAATCTAGTCAACAATCAGAAGAAAGAGAAGAGACTAGAGTGGTCAATCTTGTCTGGCTCCGGTTTTTACTTGGAATGCATCTGTGGGCTGTCCTCCATGCACGACTTTGCACTGTAATCCGTTCTATGAGTTCTGGATAATGTTGACAATCTTCTGAGGAACTTTATGGTGTCAAAGAAGTTTCCATAATGTTTTCCTATCCACACTGTCAAATGCTTTCTCATAGTCAATGAATTTGATGTATATTGACGAGTTCCACTAAACTGGTTGCACAACGATGATCTATGGTGTCTCAACTTGGTCTGTGGACGACCGATGCTTACGGAATCCAACCTGTTGATCTCGAAGTCGAGCGTCTACTGCGTCTTTCATCCGGTTCAGCAACACTGTTGTAAAATTTCTCTGGTACTGACAGTAGTGTGATGCCCCTGTAGTTCTCACATTTGCTAAGATCTCGTTTATTTGGTATATTGATGAAGCATCGTTCCTTCCAGTCTGTCGGCACTTGTTTCTCCTCCCAAATCTTCCTGAATAGAACGTTAAGCATGCTTGGAGTTACTTCAATGTTTGACTTGATTCCTCCAGCCGGTATATTGTCAGGTTTTGCTGCTTTCTCGCTGTTAATTTGTCTGATGGCCATCCTGATTTCTTCGGTCGTTGGTGGAGTGATATCTGTAGGAATGTTTGTGTGTGCTGCTTCGATATCCGGTGGATTCAATGGGGCTGATCTAATCACGAATTCCTCGAATTGTTTCACCATATCTCCCTCTGTTCTTGAATCTCTGTGATTGGTTTGTCTTCTTTGTCCTTAACTGGTTTCTCTGGTTTACTATATTTACCTGCTAGTTTCTTCATTGTATCATATAATTGTTTCATATTCCCTTCTATTGCAGCGTTTTCCACCGTCGTTGCTAGTTCGTCCATGTATTTCTGCTTGTCGGCTTTAATACTCTTCTTCACTTGCTTGTTTGCTTCTGCGTACTCTGCTTGCGCCTTGATTATCTCTGCTCGTGTTCGACTGTTGTTAATTGCTGTCTTCCTGTTCTTCCTTTCTTCAATCTTGTCCAGGGTTTCCATAGAGATCCATCCCTAATGAGAATGCTTCTTGCTGTCAAGAACCTCTTGACTTGTTGAATTCAGAGATTCTTTGATCCCTTACCAGTTGTCTTCCATAGTAGTTCCTTGTTCTTTCAGTAGATCCCGTAGAGCTTGGAACGTGTTGTTGATAGTTATATTGAATTTGTTGAGTTTGTTAGTATCTCGAAGTAAGGCTGTATTGAACCTTTGTAATGCTGTTCCTGTAGTTGTCCAGTGTTTCTTTAACTTCAGTTTCATCTCGGCAACCACCAGTCAGTGGCGATCTGAAGCTATGTCAGATCCTCTCCTGGTTCTCACGTCTTTCATTGATCTTGTGAATTTTTTATTGATGCAAATATGATCTATCTGATTCTGTATTGTGTAATCCGGTGAGACTCATGTGGGTTTGTGTGGGAATATTGTACCGCCTATAACCAATTTATTGGATGCACATAGGTTTGTAAATCTCTCCCTATTTTCGTTTCTCTCTCCCAGTCCATGTCGTCTCATGATATCTTAATGTACGGTGTTGTGCATTCCGACTTTGGCGTTTAGATCTCCCATCAGGATGATGAGATCCTTTCTTGGGCACTTTGTTATGATTGGTATCAGCCTCTCATAGAACTGATCTTTTCCGTCGTCGTTGCCGTCATTGGTGGGTGCATGTCAGGGGATAACATTCATTGTGATTTTCTCTCCCTTTGTTTTGAATGATGCCTTAATGACCCTAGATCCATGAGATTTCCATCGTATAAGTGTTGTTCGTGCTTCTTTGAACAGCACCAGAGCTACTCCCTGAGTATGTGGAGAATTTTCCTCTTCGTGACCGGAGTAAAACAGCATCTCTCCCGTATCTAGCCTTTGCTGTCCAGCTTGGGTCTAATGTGTTTCAGTGATCCCGAAAACTGACAAGTCGTATCTCCTCATTTCCGTAGCTACTTGATTGATCATCCCCGTGTTCCGCATGGTCCGAACATTCCATGTACCTATATTAATTGTTGCTCTGGTTGTTAGAAAGGGCATTGGCCTCGTGACTTTCGAAAGATCTCGACTTTCATCCCGAGGCATCATAATTCTTTTAATATGAAGACCCCTCACCTCGGAAGGCAAAGTTTAAATGGTTTAAATTGTTTCTTAATTTTAACGTTTTTTTATCAAGGTTGTTTTCTGTGGGATGGGGTTGCCGACCCCATTCCCAACTCTCCTCCATTGTCCGGGCTTGGGACCATCATTAACTTTAGATGAGCTACAGGTGGAGATGAAAACAGAGTGTGAATACACCCAAACCATTGCGAACGATTCTGAGCCATGTTATTCGAGGTCTCTAACCATTGGTCACGATAATTACTCGTAGCCCCATCCGGTAATTTGAGACTGCCTACATGGGTTACTCCAACAGTTAGTGTCTTCATGGACTTCTGCTGTGTTTTGGTTTGTCAACCACTAGCTTTCTTTTAGCTTACTCTTCTACAACAGCCTTTATCGCTCATCGAGGAATTCGATGGATAGGCATACACAATACACATTCTAGCCATCTCATTCGATAAATATTGACTACCTCATCAATTGGTTTGCCATACTTACCTAGTACTCTGCATCTAACCTTGAAATTCTCTACTTGATGATCCCAACATAAATGTGCGATGCTTCGGCGACATCAATGATAGAAAACTAGTAACCTGCGAATATCCTCTGTTTTAAATGACTACGTTTCACAACCATAAAGGAGAATGAAGGTAACTGCTGCACAGTAAACTAATCCTTTGGTTACCAGGCAGAGATCTTTCCAACACTGCAAGTACCGCGAGTTGGCAAAAGCCGATTGAGTTTTTTGAATTCCTTCTGGCATTTCGTCAAACACTAGCCCATCAGGACTGACGTGGCTTTCAAGATAAATGAATCGATCAACGTACCCAACTATTTCACTTCCTATAACTAGTTCAGGCGTTGGTGTAGACCAGCTCTTAAGCAACCTTTTTCATTTGGAGGTAGAGAAACTCATCCTATAAATGTTAACATTGTTGCTTAAGGCGGCCAGAATACCTTACGCTTTGTCAGCGTCTTCATCAAACATAACTATATCACCTGCGTATTTTAAACTAACAAGAGAATTTCCTGGCATGTCAGACGACGCGTGTTGTGTCTAGGAGAATATCTATGACAAATTTAAATAAAAATGTGGAAAAAGGATAACTCTGACGAACACCTCTTGAAGTTATCAATTTCGATGACAGTTCACCATAAGCTCTGACTCAATCAATAGTGTTAGAGTAGGCAGCCTATACGATCTGATGTTCTGTTTATCAATCTCTTTAGTTTGGATCCATTTTGGAGCAAACGTCGATAGGTAAAACACAACTAATGTACACACCAGATGGCTAAGGTCTTGATTAAGTCGAGGAAACTTTTCATATTGACCTTACCAATATGCTACTTGGATAGTCCGCATTAAAAAGTACTACTCAATGCTTGTGAGAAAACATTAGTGTTTTCAAAATATTGCTTGAGAAGAAAATATTCTAATCAGCCTATGGTTTTGTAACCTCAGTCTATGAGTTTACTTAGGTATCATATGAGAATATGTAGTATCTTATCGTTAGTAAGAATTTTAGTGATCGATTATTTGTGTGGTATTTAAGCATTTCAAAGAATATGAAACTGTTTTTTAGAAGAACTATTTGTGTTTATGCGTATTATATAAATAACAATAATAAAATGGCAACGCACATTATTTACTACGTGTATTTTCTTCATGTACTAGATTTCTAGGCAGATCTTATGGATTTAAGTTGGTGATAGCATCTGGTTGTCCAAACTCTTAATGAAAAGAATGGCATTTAGGGCCAAGATTGAATAATTAAAAATCAAGTGAATTGAATCATTGTCTTTATAGTAATTAACAGTTAGTGTTATGATATTGATGCTGTAGTAATAAGTTAATCGTTGTTAATTATGTTTTATAATGTTTCTGACAATGTAATAATAACGGGAAATTCTATATATATATATATACTATAATCTAACTAACGTTTCGTTTCTTTTTAATAACAATGAAGCTCTACAAATTTTGTGATGTTTTTTTTAAAAAGGTTCGTAGACCTCGTCTATCCTATTCAGTGACGGTATTTACACTAATTCATGTCTATTTATTTCTACGTGATACTCGACTAATCTGTTTACTTACGGAAGCTATTCTAATTGGCGATCTCACATTGCCTGGTTTAATAATACCTTGTAATATACCATGTTCCAATTCACAAATTGTCTTCAATAACTCTACAACTCAGGATTGTTCTGTAAGTTTTCTAAATAATTTAAATTACGACGAAACTGATGATACTGCATCTGATGATGACCCAGCAATGAACATTGCTAGAACGTTAATTGCTGCCACTGTGTCTTTACGAGCTTCTGACCAAGCATCACCTGGGAAAAGATTAACTGCTTACTTAATACATTCAGTAACATCAAAAAATCCATTGATATTTTCTCAACCTAGTGAATCATTAGAACATGGATTGACTCAAGCAAAAGGTGTAACACAGACATTGATGTCTGTTCTATGGCCACCCAATATGGCTCCACTAAAACTAGTGGAGAGGAATTCAGAAACTTGTGTAAGTTTAAAATAGACAGGGTTTTAACTGTTATTATTATTACTTTGGAAATTATGATCAACCTCTAATCATACAGGTTTCTGATTTGTTTAGAATTTTTGTTATAGTGCTTGAAAATGGTGTATTAGTTATAAGAACGTTGTTTTAACTAATTGAAGTGCATAATCATTAATTATTTTCTACGACATATGTTTCTATTCTTGACTGTTCATTCATTGTTAGTTCACAAATAACTAGTAGTTAGACTATATTTAGGTCGATTATTTTATTTATACAATGATAGTTTTGTTCCTTTAAGGTATGTCATGTTTTTTTCTTAAAATTCTATTCAGTTGAGATTTTAGAGGATTATTGATCTTGTAGCCAACGATTAACAGCTTGACTAACACAGTCGCAGATCAATTGGGCCGTCACAACGGGAACGATCTTTTTTATGTAGACAGTGAAAATCAACGATTTGGCAAGTGGTTATTCATGGAGCAGGGTTTAGCTTTACTTATTTATATGGGATTTACTAAGTACGAGCTTAGATATCCGCCTATGAGCTACATGTTTTAGATATGAAGATTTACTATGTGTCGGTTTTTCGGTTTTACTTTACGACTGCGAAAAGTGGCCATTAAGGGTGGGAGATAATCGTAAGTCACCAGTATTTGATCACGTATGTCTTGGAAATATTGCTAACATCTTTCGGGATCAACGGGCAAGTAATAGTGAGGTTAGACGAAGGATGTTAGGGAATGATGGTAAACCAGTTAATAAGGTCATAAATCTTCATCGGCTGAGATGGTTGGGCCACGTGTTACGTATGCCTGAACACCGATTACCACGGCACGCAATACTGACTAGTGTTGGAGACGGTTTGAAGAAAGTTACGGGTAGCATCAGTGCTTGAAGTCACTAACTTTTAGTCTGAGCCATTTCGGTAGATGTAGATTACTTGGTTGGGGTCCGCGCGACTATTGGAACCAATGGTTGGAGACTTTGTGTGACATGGCTCAGAATCGATCAAAATATTGTAGGTTTATACACTCTTTATCTTCCCTTAAACCGTGAGATTAAGATTACTTTATACCTTTTGTTCTACGAATTAATTCTTTTTCTCTGTATTGTATTCTTATATTCAATTTTTCTTTTATATATTACTACCATTGAAGTAACTACTTGTATGAATTTGATGATCATCTTTTTGTGCTAATGAGGTATGGCAACTTGGACCGATGCATATGTGTGCCTGGTCCTACGTTATAATTGACTGAAGTATGAAGACTAGTGATACTACTTAGCTGTCCGAACTAAAATGAGTGTATTGCGGTTCCAATGTTTAATCTTAGAGCTGATGGTTGGCTGCTTTATCCTGGAGGTGCGCGACAAGTGGAATTTTTCTATTTCTTCACATAACTCATGAAATCTTGAGTCATTTTTCATTTAGTTTTCTTTAGTGACATCGTGATCTGCACTTATGACTGTCTAAAACCCAAAAATCTACACAAATCTTCTGTACTGATAATGATCATGTGCCCATTAGCGACTACCTTCGAGTGGTAATTCCAAGAGTCTCGATGACGACGGTGGAACTTCCTTCATATTAGCCGTAGAACCAAGGGCTTGTGGATGTGCACTATTGAGGAGTCCCTTACTAGGACGAAATGGCTGTCCAGTGCTTTCATGTTTTCAATGGTGGTTTAGCTTACATCAACTCATGAATTCAACTACTAAAATTACTGCAATCTTCACAAACCCTATTCTGATCATATTCTTATTCAATCATGACTTAGAACTCGTACAATCAAATACCTGAAATGCTTGACAACATAGCAACACAGTTTGGAGGCAACAGTTTGTACGTAACTTAGTTATAAGTGATACAAAACGGAAGTAATAGGCAAATGATGGTGAATCTAGAACAATAAGACATGACAACAATATATGGGTCAAATGAAAGTTCGGAAATAGGCAAACATAGGAACACAAAAATCCAAGGGTCTACTAAATACGCAGTAAATGTGTAACAATAGTCCCATTAGTTAAACTTATATACTACTCGCGTTATTATATCAGGCAGTGGTATTGTTTAACTTTATATCAATTTCTAAAAACTAAATCGCATTTATCTCCTAGTTTGCGTACATTTCTAAAAATCTGGAATGTATCAGGGCTGTTATTTGTAAATATGATGATTTTAGATATAGTATAGATCCACTCGTGAATAGATTTATAAGTAGTACAGCTGATCAAGGAATCAATTAATTGTTAAATATTTTTGTTGTGACCCACGGCTTTCGATAATTGATACTATTACTCATTCATCCTGTGAATATGAACTAAACAGCCTACCCGAGTGGAGAAGGCTGAATGAGAAAGGAAGTTTATTGACTTACCAAATAGGCTTGTACGTATATACATACATTTATCCTTTAGAAATTATGGCCATCAATGGTGTGTATATCGTTTTTACGATATGTAAACCACTTCTTGACCAATCGCATGCACTTATCATTTGGCTGATTTTCGATTGGATCCATGTATAAACTTTCCATCTTATTCATTTATAGTGTTTTTCTGAAACATTGGTTTAGTGGTTCAAGAATTTGCGTTTCAGCCTTTATATGATGGATTCGAGCCCAACTGGCTCCATCTACTTCATTTTTAGTGTCTGGGCAATACCATTAGCCTTTACTTGCTAATGTTTTATCTCAGCCGAGTTCTGTGTTATAACAGAACGAATATTGGTGAAGTCCTAACTGTTTGGACTATTTTCCTGAATATTGTTGTTTATTTTTACATTATGCAACTACTAAGTAACCGGACTACTATGTTTCTGTATTCCGTTTGTTGTAGGCCTCCATTTGACCCATCACATATTACTATGCGTTTTATTGTTCCTATATTATCGCTAACCAGTTATCTACAGTTTGTCCAGTTGACAACCACTTTTGACATGTTTGTATAATCACGATGATTTCCTATTTTTTGGTGGTTGGTTTGGTCCGGTTTCGTCGGGCATATAAGCTAATGAGGGCTTGAGTGGCTTTTTTAAATACAGTATAAAAGCTTGACTACGTCTTTCTTTTCAGACTTAAGGCTGGGGATTGAAGGCATTGCATAAGCTTACGATGGCTTAAGGTTGATTGTGTCAATCGAAATGTATCATTAGTCAAGACTAAGGGTGCTAGGCTATAAACGGAGTAACAGACGTGAATCAGCGGAAATGTAATCTTAATTCTGATTGAAGAACTTAGAAAATGGTATAGATCAATCGCTCGGACATATCAGTAACTAACATAACGCTTGGTAAATTACGTAAGAGTAAAAAATTATTTTGTCTTTACTTATCCCATAATCAACAGTTGTTCTACATATTTTTACCCTCTCATGAATAAACAGGCTCAGTCATCCAGTACTTCAAATCCATATGAAAAACGCTCATCTGATCTGTCACCAGGCGATTCACAAATACAGTCTCCTAACAGCTGTACAGGTTCGTGTATGGGTTTGTTTTTCTGAATGTGATTATTATTATTGTCACATTATCATCGACATAGTTTTGTTTAATTAGCAGTAAATTGATGTACTATTCTGGTTGAAACATTTCCCGTCCTGATTATTGATCTGGTTATGAAAGGAAGTTGATCATTTATTTTCAATGAAATCAAGTGATGTGTGATTTTGTATGTAATAGTTTCCATTATCCCAATAAATTAAATATCAGTTAACTTGAATTTCGGATTATTAGTTATTTTCATTGGTTAACGTATGGTAAGAAAGGATAATTGTCATTTTCCTTTACGCTGACATTAACGATGGTGTTTTTATGATATCAACTATTATGTTACATGTTCAATATATAATTGTGCTTTTCGGGTGTAATGCTTTATTGTCTTAAGGGATTGTTAAAGTTAGATGATGACGTTAGAAGATAATATACATGTAAATGAGCATCCCTTTAGTGTAATGCAAGCTGTCAAGCTAGATTAACCGTACAGTTGATTAGATTGTATGCACTTTTTAGCTTAACCATTAATCATATTGATGTGATACTGTGTTGGTCACGTCAGTAATTTCAATCAGTCGATCTTATGCAACCGTACATAGAACCTGGCACATAAATGCCTCGGTTCAAGCTGCCATATCACTTCAACACAGTGAGATATCAGAGTAGTGTAGGTAGTAGTTGTAGAAAATAGCATTCAAGAAAAAGATATAGATTCATCGAATGAAAACTATTGTAAGATAATGGAGAAACTTAGAATCTAAGGAAAGATAAAGAGTGAATACATTTGAATAATTGCGAATGATCCTGAGTTGTCAGTCAAAGTCTCTAACCACTGGTCACCACTATAACTTCAATGACCTTAATCAGGTGGTCTGAAATTGTTTACAGGGCTCAGCTCAAAAGTCGGTGTATTCATGGTCTTATTCCACTTTTTGATTTAGCCGCTTTAGCTTTCTTCCTACTTACCCCCTCTACATCAACCATCACGCGTCGAGGTAGAAATGGAATTAGTTCCTGTCACAGTAATTGACGGTAACAAATTAATAGAACAGCGAATCAGTGAGTTAACAACTGTTTCAATAAACTCATACCAAATATCAGTTTGCGTAGTTAGTTGTTGATGCCATTGTACATAATTAGATTAGTTTAAACTTTTCAGAATTTCAACAATATGGCTTACATGCTGGCAAATGCCCTGTTTATTCTTTAGAGTTCCTTTGTTAATAATATAATGACAGTATGTTAGCTCTAATCTGAATACATATAAGAGTGTGTAATTTCGATTAGGTAATGTATAAATCTTCCGTAAATGTGTGACGTTTAGGTGTAGTGACTAACAACATTCATGTAGGCTGCATGCTGAAGAGAAAACAGTCACATACAAGCTGTACTCGATTAATTCTATCGACTATACTCTTACATGTTAACATATTTTCTTAGTTATCAGATTAATTCTTTCGCATAAATTCCGATTGTGGTTTTGAAAAATAAGATCTTCGAACATTTTTGTTTTGTTTTGTAAGTGGGTTTATGAGTTTAATCGTATATTTACTAAATTGAAAGTCTTATTAAGGCGATACCCAAATATTATGTCAACAACAAAGATCACATATTACACCAATAAAACGTCCTTTTAATGTAATTAAGTGATAACCAAAACCAGATGATTTATCACAGGATATAAAAGCTGTCTTGAACTCACATCTCTAGATTACAATCTACTTTAATAAAAGAATTATTATGACTTGTGGGTGTTTTGTTGCTCATGGAATCAAATACTAATAAAAACCAATTGATCACGTGTTGGGATACTGAAAACAGAAGGATTATGATTTTAAAATAACTTGTAGTAGACTGATTTATCATCAAACAATTCTCGTCATGGATCCGTTCAATGAAATTTTCCACTGTATACAAGGGTATGCGATAAATAGCATTAGGTAGATCAATCAGTGTTGTAAGAAATTGTCTGTCAATACATTCAGTAATTTAAACCAAATAATAAGCTTTAATCAATATGTAATTTTTGATTGTTTGCATCAACAAATTAATTGATGTGACTTTGTTTTCGTGAATATTAGTTAGTTTATTTGAATGAATTATTTGTGAAACATTCAGTGATTCCGCTTATGTTTACTTCTCACGACCAACTATGATAGACTATATTTTCAGCTAATTGTTACTTCTAATTTAGACATTTTCATGGACATTTATTTTGCAATTAATCAGACTACATCTTTTTATTCCCAGTTACATCGTCTCTTAATACCTCTTTTTATGATTTCATAATTATCTTTCATCTGTTTAGGATACTATGTCATTTAATGAAACGTCCAAGAAAGTGTATTCAAAGATATATTACATTTGAGCCTGTTTCTTCGCGTTTTTAGGAGAAAAAAACTGAATTGATCTTGGGGAGGAGGTTAGGTAGTTCAAAAGAAACCTTGGACAGGATCAATTTCTTTATTTATTCACCAAAATGTTTTAACATATTCCAATATTGTATAACGTCAGTTATAACCTTATTTGAATATGATGACTAGTCACGAGGAATTGAATGAGTTTCCGTAAGTTATAGTCACCACCTACTGCTTGGTGAAATATACTGGCTAGTAGAGTAGTAGATCGGAAGCAGGCTAATGACAAACAATCTCAAGAAGTCACACCAATCCATAATTTCACTGAACGTTGATATGAGTTTTGTTAGTAAATGCAAAGCTCATGAATGAGACCTAAGAGATAGTTAGTAGTCTACAATTGAAATCCTTTGGTAATATAACTCGAAATTGGTCACAGTGGATCAGATGAAATTCTCCATGTACTTTTAAGTTCTAATTTTTAGTGTTGCTTCAGTGAAATAATTCAACTCATTTCTTCCTGAATTATTATATTTTCTATGTTTATTATTCTGCAATGAACGAACACTCATGTGGGGGACAACCAACTTATTACTTAATACAAAATTACAGAGTTTGTCGACATAAGTAGCATATACCACAATTCTAATACCATCGGTACTATTATTATGGTTATTATTATTTCGTCTGATCCTCTTTTGAGAGTTTTTTTAACTTCCTGCCTCGTTGAATTTATGTAAATTGTAAAAATTTGGACAGTTTTATATTTGTACAGGGTTCCATGTTGTTTGTAACTAATTAACTAACTGACCAGTCATCTCTCAACCTTCAACACATTTTGGTCACGTGTTGTTCAAGAATAGAATATTTAACTCTGTTTTTATTCTGTATTCATGACCTTGTGACTTGATTACACGTCCCATACTAGGACGAAACGGCCGTCCAGTGCTTCCAGGTTTCTCATGGTGGTCTATCTTCAATTGACTCATGAATTCAACTATCAAATGACTAAAATCTGCACAAAACCCCTTCTGATGATTTTATAAACGTTCATTTGTTTCTTAATTGTTTTCTTTTAGATGTTTCTTCTATTGAAAAATCCCCAGTTAAAACTGAAGATTCATCATTTAATTCATCAGTTGTTTTTGGACAAAATGATAAACCGATCGATGCTGACTTATCAAATCTATCTGGCCGTGTTTTTTTAAGATCTTTATTTCGTTCTTTGGAAATTGGTTCCGGTTCAGATCAAGATGCCTTATTCTCTATTCTCCTTTTATTTGCTATAAAATCAAATAAAGGTAAGGTGTTACGTCTCTTTTTTCTACCCAAAAAAGTTGTTTTTCTTTTCGTATTTGCAAATCTTATCCTAAAAAGCGATCGATAGATTCTGTCAGAATAAACTTCTTCGAAATTGTATTTTTTTATAACTCTAACCCCATCAGTTTAAAATTTGTAGGTAAATCTGTACGAAGTATATTCAATTAATTTGATGTAGTTGTAACTCTTCATCCTTTGAGGTGTCAGGTTAAACTGTCGCTTAGCTTGATACGGTATTGTAAGTAAAGTTAAAATGAAGTGTAAAAAAACCTCTGATGTCATCGTCAAACTAAATGATTGATTCATCACAATAGCATAGAAATATTTGTTCTTAACTTCTATATATTGAGGATATTTTATTACTCACTGCCTCTTATGCTTATGGACTTCATATTTTTCTTTTATTCTTGTTTATTTTAATATATATTTTATCATCTACCATTGTAACTTGTGACAAAATTAAACAGAGATATATTTCTATACAGGATTATCTCTTTCTTTGTATTTTTAAATAAGGCATAAAATGATCCCAATTTTATTCAACCATGTAAGTTAGAATCCATACATTTGGTTATTGATGGAATTATTGATCAACTATCCAGGTTTTGAGTTGGTAATCGTTCGATGGAAGAAATATCAGATCATAGTTATAAATAAATTAATATATTTGTAATATCTCAATGAGTAGAAAAATTAGATTTTCTGACGTTTCGTGACTTAGTGTAAGCCACTTCTTCAGAGAATAAATAACCAAATTAACATTAATCCAAGTTTAAATAGTACAACGGAACAATCCAAGAATATTAGGTGATCAATCAAAATACAGTTCTGAGTAGATCAATGTCATGTCATTTCATTTCGGTTAAAGTGATTCATAAGGGATATGTATGTAATTTTGTGTGTATGTATGCATTGTTAATGACGAAAAATGTGTGACCTTTGTAATGACAAAGGATAGAGTTTAATTTGTAGACTTTACCAACACACCGACTTATGCTTTATCTAAATATCTGAGCAGCATATTAAAGCCACTACAGTTCGACATACATAATATGATTAAAGATACATATGACTTTAAATCAAAACTATCGGAATTAATCATCGAGAAGAATGAAGTCATGGTAAGCTTTGATGTCGTATCTTTATATACTAGTATTCCGATTGATAACTGCTTAGAATTTATTAGTGGCTTACTAGAAAATGACACTACTTTGTCGGACAGATGTCCGTTAAGCATTAGTTTAATCATGAGATCGTTAAAACTTTGCTTAAATTCAACTCTATTCGCCTTCAACGGAACGCTATACAGACAAACAAATGGTGTAGCAATGGGTTCCCCTGTGTCCCCGATTGTTGCCAACCTTTTTATGACACACATAGAATCAAAGATTTTCACCAACCACATTAAACCACGAATTTGGCTTAGATATGTAGATGACACATTTGTAGTGATAAAAAAGACGCATCTAAGATCATTTTCAAAACAGATAAGTACACTTTCATCTCATATCAAATTCACGAATGAAAATGAACATGGTGAGTTTCCGTTCTTAGATTGTTTAGTGAAAAGAAATATAAATGGAGTTCTAAATGTATCTATCTACCGAAAGCCTACACACTCTAATCGTTACATCGACTTCCATTCAGCACATCCTTTCAGTGCTAAAATTTCGTTAACCTTACATCTTTTTAGAAGAGCCAATAAAATCATCACTTCAAAAGAGGACAAACTAAAAGAACAAAAGAATATAATTAGCATCTTACAATTTAATAATTTTCAGATGAAGATTATCAGAAGCTTATTAAAACAAGACAATTCAGCACGTAATAATAACAATAATTCGAATGAAATGCCATGGATTGGTACTGCAGATATTTAGATAAAGCATAAGTCGGTGTGTTGATAAAGTCTACAAATTAAACTCTATCCTTTGTCATTACAAAAGTCACACATTTTTCGTCATTAACAATGCATACATACACACAAAATTACATACATATCCCTTATGAATCACTTTAACCGAAATGAAATGACATGACATTGATCTATTCAGACCTGTTTTTTGATTGATCACCTAATATACTTGGATTGTTCCGTTGTACTATTTAAACTTGGATTAATGTTAATTTGGTTATTTATTCTCTGAAGAAGTGGCTTACACTAAGTCACGAAACGTCAGAAAATCTAATTTTTCTACTCATTGGGATATTACAAATATATTAATTTATTTATAACAATCCACCCAATGCTCAATTTATTCAAAATTATCAGATCATAGTTAGTTAATTTAATGTACAAATGAAAATAACATAGAATTAGCCCATGAAGACACCGACTTTTGAGCTGAGCCCTGTAAACAATTTCAGACTACCTGATTAAGGTCATTGAAGTTATAGTGGTGACCAGTGGTTAGAGACTTTGACTGACAACTCAGGATCATTCGCAATTATTCAAATGTATTCACTCTTTATCTTTCCTTAGATTCTAAGTTTCTCCATTATCTTACAATAGTTTTCATTCGATGAATCTATATCTTTTTCTTGAATGCTATTTTCTACAACTACTACCTACACTACTCTGATATCTCACTGTGTTGAAGTGATATGGCAGCTTGAACCGAGGCATTTATGTGCCAGGTTCTATGTACGGCTACATATGATTGACTGATTATCAACCCAACCCATTTGAGTTTTGTGACTTTTGCAATGTTATTCCCTCTTGATCTGAACTTCGACGGACGAATTTCACCATCTTTATCTATGTCTATGACTGTCACTTAGTAACCCTGAAAGTTCAATACCAGGGCTCATCTTCTGTTCATTGCTCAATAATCTTAATGAGGGTTTAAGGGATGTCAGTCTGTAACAAATCTGACCTATAAACAGAACTTAGTCAGTCAATATGAATAAAATTCATGTACATAATGCTGTTTCATTGTCAAATCTGGAAAATTACGTTAAGCAACTGCGATAATTTTTTCTAATTTTAAACTTCTGAAATAATCAATTCAGTTATCTTTTTATTGCATATGTATGGAACTACATTAAAGCTTATGTGTATGTGTACTTGTTTCTCTTTTGCTCACTAATTTTCACTCTGGAATGTATTTTTTCGTATTTAAAAACTCTCCTAGGTGTTGATTTGGCTACTTTGAAACTTGCCCAATTAAACGGCCTCGATATAGTAAGAATTTATAAAAGTATATGTTAATAATTTTGATTATTTTATAAATCTCTTTCACACAGAATACGATATTACCTAAAATATATTGGGATTTTCTGTTTACCCCGTTAGTTATCTAACATAAACAATGTTAACGAGGAGTATAATAATATTAAAGTCGATGCATCCAACTTGTGACTTCAAAAGTCACAACTTCTCCTACATATGTGGAATATGTAGATTTTTATAGCTGGAGAAGAGTTAAATAAGCCTATGAAAACAAGTTGTTCCTATTGTTTTATTGGTGATTAGAGTTTGTCGACCACAAAATCTGACCCCAATGTTATATAGCCATCGATGCCTCTCATATATTGTATTTGGTTAATGTCACATATTACCATCATCACCCCTCACTTGAAATCTGGGAACGAGTGTATACACTTCTCAAACTTCTACATTTCCTCAAACAGAATTGTTATCATCCATGAAATCTTCCCATATCATCATAGACTATTGAAAAGCGATGATTTAAGTTATTTCTCCGCTGTTTATCGATTCAAAATACACCGAATTAATCGTGTCTCTTGTAACTCTACAGTTATTCAGTTGGATGTTATTTGAAGCATGTGTTTTCTTAAGACTGCAACTCAGTTCATTAGTAAATTAAGACATTTGGCATAGATGTGAATCGGTCCAAGTTGTTACACTTTTTAAAAGTATGTCTGGATATGAAGTTAGCAAAAAACTGAAACATGTAAACGGAAATTATATGGAGAGCCAAACATATAGTTTGAAAAAACTCAAAATCAGGGAATGGGAAGTATGAAATAATGCTAAAACTCGAGATTTAAAAGAAGGTCAGTACTGAATAATTTTGCTCTGATTCGACTGGTTTCAAACTATGTAATTTCAGATCTTCAATAAACCATTATTCTTATCTATTGCACTCTAAACAGGAAGTCTACCGCCTGACATAGCTCAGTTCAACAGCCGATAGCTTTATCTGGTCACCTTCAACCTTGTTTTCCAACTTCCTACGCTAACCAGTGTAGCTGATTCAAGTGATTAATGACTTCATGTGTGTATCTCAGTCGATAATTGTTCGTGACCTCACCAACTGATTTCCCATCTTTACCTGATAAGTTCAGAAATAACCATTCAGTTATCCCACCAAACGTAATCAATGCTTCAAAGATATATTTGTTAAAATACTGTTATTATATACATTTTTTTCGTTACAGTTTATTTTTCACAGACACTAAGTCATACAATCTGAACCATTGTATAGCATACTCGTCATTTAATAGACAGACCAACTATTCGCCTGTACTACAACTGGGCCAAGTGGACTTTCTTTATCCGTACTAAAGTTTCATCAAATACCACTAATCCATTTAACCTAAAAAGTCGATTGATCATTTAAGTTGTTAGGTATATACTCTGGTTTTAATTTATTATTTGATTATTTTGAAATATCTACCGGTTTTTGTCATTTTGATCCTTGCTTTATGAAACGTGTTCATAAAAATACAAATATACATTTGATTTTTTTATGTACAATACTACATGAATAGCTAAATTTATTTATTTATTTATTTAAACACATATATATTGGTACAAAAGGGCACCAGGTACATATGCGCCACACAAAATAATGAAAGTAGCAAGAGAAGGGATGAAAAGATAAGGCGGGCTGAAATGTACAACCAGAAGACTCTTTCAGTTAGGAAAGTTAGAACCGTTCTTTATGAAGAAAGTAAAAGAAGGTTGCAGCAGGATCGCCACTGGCTTCTATTCTGAGCCATATCTGATAACGTCTCTAGCCACTGTGTTGCACTATCTCTCGGACCCCAACCAGGGAGTCGTGAAGGACCAACGGAAGCTAGCCCTTTGCAGCTCTCTTTCATGCCACGACACCATGTCATACACTGACCCCCTCTCCGCTTTTTCCAACCAGTCCCAGGGTCGGCAAATAATGCACGACGTGGAAGTCTCTGGGACGACATTCGTAAAACATGTCCAAGCCACCGAAGTTGGTGTTTCAAGATGGTGACACCAATTGAATTATCGTCTCTGCGCCCGAACACACGATGCCGAACCTCTGCATTACTAACATGGTGTTGCCACTGTATGTCAGCAATCCTTCGGAGACAACGATGATCGAACACAGAGAGACGTCTAACATCCTCAACTCGGAGGTGCCAGGTTTCACAAGCATAGAGCAAAACTGCTCTCACCGACGCGTTGTAGATCCGACCTTTTACAGCCAGACTAACATCACGAAGGCGCCAAAGATGGCCCAGATTGGCATACGCCGCTCTGGCTTTCATTATACGTGCATCAATCTCATCACTCACGCCACAACCAGCACTTATATAGCTACCTAGATACACGAACTTCTCAACTACTTCAATCTGCTCACCATCCAGGGTGAGTACAGGATGAGAATCCTGCCAGTCTTGTAGGAGTACTTTGCACTTGGAGGGTGCAAAGCACATGCCGTACCTGCGGACACTGATTGCCAACTGATTAAGTGCTGATTGCATGCCTTGGGCATTATCGCACAGTAAGACAATATCATCCGCATACTCAAGGTCGAGAAGTCGTTCTCCAGGCAACATATCCACACCGCCATTACTTACATCCATCAGAGCTGTTTCCAGGTTGTCGTCGATGGCAAAGTTGAAGAGGAATGGTGAGATCGGGCAACCCTGTCTAACCCCACTGCTCAAATGGAACAAGGGAGAAAGGTGGTTGTATGCCCTCACTCTGCCTGAGGTGTTCGTATACAGGGCCTTTAAGATGTTAATGAACTTCTCAGGCACACCCTTCTTCAATAGACAATCCCAGAGAACAGTCCTGTCCAACGAATCGAAGGCCGCCCTGATATCAAGAAACACTACGATTGTTGGCCTGCGATAAGTATGACGGTGTTCTAACATTTGGCGGAGGGTGAAGACGTGATCAATGCATCCTCGACCAAAACGAAAACCAGCCTGCTCCTCGCGAGTCAATCGTTCTCGGGTTTTAAACAACCTACGAAGAATGATAGAAGCCAATAGTTTGGACGCGATCGAAAGTAGACTTATCCCCCGGTAGTTATTGCAGGAACAACGTGAACCCTTTTTAAAGATAGTGACGACTATTGACTCATTCCAAGATGTTGGAACACTTTCTTGCTCCCAAACCTTTCCAAACAACGCAGTCAGTTCCTTAGCCAGAAAGTCACCACCATCTTTAAAAAGAGCCGGAGGTAAGTCATCTGGGCCAGGTTAATTATAACGTTTCAAGAGTTGGAGTTCCTTGCGGACTTCCGCCTCGTTTGGTGGATCAGTCGTCACCGGCCATGGGGGGCAGGACAAGCTGGTTGATGTTGCCGGAGCAGCAGGCCAGTTGAACTGCCCTTCGAAAAATTCCGCCCATCGTCCAAGACGTCGAGAGATGTTAGTGATTGGCATCCCGTCATCCTCGTAGATTGTTTCACTCACACCAGACTTCTTGCTGCCAGTGGCTGGGATGAGTTGGAAGAGCTTCCGGCAGTTACCAGATGCAGCTGCTGCTTCCATCTCATTAGCACGCTCCGACCACCAGGCTTCCCGGTCCTTACGCAAGCTTTGCCCGATTTCATTACGTAACAGCCTTCGTTTGTGGTCAAACTCACGGTCACCCGGAGTAGACCGACGGGCTTCCATCAGTTGTAAGGAGCCAGAAGAAACCCAGTGCTTGTAACCGGGACGCGAAGAAGCAACTAATGCTCATCTATACTTTTCGGTGGGGTGGTAGCTAGCCTAGAGGCTAGCTCGGCTCGATACGTACTTGCAACAAAAGTTGCAGCCAGTTTACTAACATCGATCCGTTGGTGGTGGTCAATCCTTCGGCCACTGAAAAGTAAGGTAAGATTGGCGCAGACCAGGGCATGATCAGACTCCAGATAGGTACTCCTAAAGGAGCGGCAGTCTTGTACACAACCACGCCAGCGGTAGCTGATCGCGATGTGATCAATCTGAGTCCAGGCTTGGGATGCAGAGGGAGGACGCCAGGTGGCACACCGGCGATGACTGTGCCGGAAGTTAGTGCTGGCCAGAAACAGGTTGTGGTCTGTGCGCAGTTGCAGCAGACGGTCCCCGTTATCTGTCCGGCGACCAACAAGTCCCCATCGGCCACCTAGACGACTCTCTTCTGTGCCTAGACGCCCGACCTGTGCATTCAAGTCTCCGGCTAGTACTACAATATCTGTCGAACGCGCTTTCTGGAGAAGAACTGTTAACTGGTGGTAAAACTCATCCTTGATTGCATCCGGGCTGCAATCTGTCGGGGCATAGGCGGAGATGACGAAAAGACACCGTTTCTCACGCCGATTTCTTCTCACATTGATGGAACTTTCTAATCTAACAGCACATAACCGACTGTTAATGGGGATCCAATCGATTAGTGCTGCTTCAGCTCTAGCGCTTAGTGCGACACCAACGCCAGCAAGACCAGACGAAGATGCCACAGGGTCCCCGGATAAGCGCACGTGGAACAAGCTCTTCGAGGCGACAGATGGAGAGCGGATTTGTAGTACTTCTTTAGAGTCTTGAATACGGGTCTCGGATAGACAACAAACATCAACATTAAGACCTTCCAAAGACATAGCCAGCCCTATCTGTTATCTGATATGCATTAGTGTGCGAACGTTGAAGGAAGCCAGCTTGAACGGCGTACGTGGTTTCAGAAAGACTGCTTCAGTATTCGTTATCGGTGGAAGCATTCACTTTCAACCAGACAGTGACTGGAGATCGTTTAGATAGGACAGATTTTCCACCATGGGCGAGCTGCTGCATAAGTTGAAAAGTAAGGTTACACAAATTGGGGATAAAAGGGGGTGAGTTAGCGATATGGTAAATAATAATAATAATAATAATAATAATAATAATAATAATAATGTTAATTTCTTGCTTTTAGTATGAGCAGGGATATTATCGTCAATAGAGTTCACCATTTCATTCATTTGTGTGTGGGCTGTGATACTGCCCGGGTGCCCAAACCGAAGCAGGTGGTTTTCTTAGGGGACCACACCCCGAGCCTTTGACCTAAAGGTCTGATCCACAAGGCAGTGGAGCATCGTGAGGAGATGCAGTCCCATGGTAGCCGTTGACCAATGACAGGTTCTTCCGCCATTCGTTCCCTCAGGATACTGGAGCCCATGTGCACCATTGGTTTGGAATCAGGGTTTTCCAACTCCCCTAGGTGGACCCTCCGTGTCCACCAATCCGGTTATAGCGCCGGACATTCGCTTTTCGTCTTTTCACTTTCGTAAACAACACCCCCGCCACGATAAGGCAGTGAGTAGGACTTCCCTGGCAGAGGCTATATATTCGCTGGCCATGTGAGAGCATTTCGAGAGGGAGAGTAGACTCTCCCCACTCTCGGCCGTACCAGGGCATTTGGGGGCAAATAGCTAAATATTTATTATGTTATCAGTGCTAACTTGACTTGTATTCTATTTCGATGGTCGATCGATCCATTCATAAATGAACAGTATTGAGTGGTATGAAAAAATTATTTACACTAAAAGCTAATATGTCATTACAGTATTATGTCATTTTGGATTCCCAACAGAATTTTATTATGAAGTGAAGTGTATCATGTATGGGGAAATGAACGGACTTCAACAGTAGACTTGGACACATTTTTATTTTTTAAAAATAATTAATTTGCTCTTTTTCTATTGTACAACTATGACGAAAAAATATATGCATATGTTGGCAGTATTGTAGCAATGGTGTCTTCGAAGCATTGATTACGTTTGGTGGAATAACTGAATGGTTATTTCTGAACTTATCAGGTAAAGATGGAAAATCAGTTGGTGAGGTCACGAACATTTATCGACTGAGATACACACATCCAGCTAAAGTTCAAAATGTGGGTTGATAACTGCCAGATTATTAATTTGACATTGTCACGCCCATCATGAAACCTGAAGATCTTATGTCTACGAGTCACCGTGTGTGGACAAGGTTGTGCACTATTGATATTATTTTTACACTACGATGTAAAACAGTTCTTCATTGGTTCTTTACTGAAGATATTTCCACAGTTGATGTGAACATATAGTGAAATTATTCACCTTATTCATTGCTGAATAAATTTACATTACAAGCATATATTGATTGACAAAAAATGCAACCTATAATTCATTTACTTCATTTACAAATTGCTTCTAATTTGAGTATGATATTTTTGGTTGTCTATATTTTCTACTCTTCTGTCTTTCTTGTACATTAGAAAAATGAACCATCGTATAATTATACGCTTGTCACAAAGCTTATTGAATTAATTGGTGACGCATGTAAAGCTGGTAAGCAAATAGTTACTGTTTTGATATTGTATTAAATTTTGTGTAAAAATGTGTGTTTATGTGCATTGTAATCATGGTAGTATATTTTCTTTGTGTTCGCTGATGATCGTGTTTAAATGATTATTCAGTTTAGTAATGAATAGACTACATCATTTGTGCACTGTATAAATTTTAAGCATAGTACCAGTTGATTGTCTGAATAGAAAGGCAACATTTGAACTAGTAAATAACAACAATTTATGTTTAAATTCTTAGAAGTAACAATGATAGACAGACAGATATGTCAGTATATGACCTTCGCACAAGTGTTTCAGTTCAGGTTGCCATATTTAACGACATAATAATAACATTAGGTCAGCTAAACAGATGCGAAGTTACCTAAAAGTACACAATGAAAATTAGTCAATAAAAGGTTTAAATTTTGACTTATATCACGAAGTGATCATCTCATAGTCGGATACCAGGATGAGTTACTACATAAGTAGCCAAGCCGTTTCAATCAATGTAGAAAATTTCTTGTCTTCATCGACTGATGTATGACGCAGTGTTCTCAACACATACATATGATGATATGAAATGTCAATATTGATTCGGATGTGGTTGTGTGGATAATTTTATTTACAGTTTTCTGTGAATTTATGTTCAAACCATTCGGTGTGTGATATAATATCGAGATATAATACGATTGGTTATTAATCCCATCGTTGGGATAACTAACAATCTGCTACATAGACTGTCTGGTTGAATATACATTTCATCTTTAGAATTTTCAATATCATCAAAATTCATTCTTCCTTGCTCATTTTCCTTTACTTTATCGCTTCATATTATCATCGATATCTCAGTGGTTAAATCTAGTATCAGGCATTAGATTATAGGTGCAAACTCCTTCATACATACTCTTAATTGAGCTAACATGCAGGTAGTAACAGTAGTTCTCTCCCTCTCACACAAAATACCGTTTAAAAATTGCATAAGTATTCATGAACTTGGCATATAAATTACTGTTTAAAATTGAAACATCAACTACAGTGAATGGTATGTTTAGATCTACCATTTCTATTACTGCATACTTATTTAACCTTTGTTAGTCTAGATGGTTGTGCTACTGGAGTTTTTAAGAAATCATCCGTTCTATTTCACTATTTTCTATACTTTCTTCTCGTATATCAACAGCTTATTTGTACTTTTTGACTTTATTATTTCACTATTTCGTATTGGCCCATTTTCTTTTCACATCTTCTGCACTTCTTATAAGATAGTAGTAATTCATCGCTAAATAAAATTTTTGTGAGTTAACTGTCTTCTGGATCACTACTTATTGTTTCTGTGTGATTGATCATATACATATATATGATATGAGGATTTCCAAACTTCATGGGTCTACTTCATAACTGATATAGTTAGGAATACCGATTGAAAGTTTACATACGTAGTTTGTCAATTCGGTTTTTAGAATAGTTTTCCGTGTTAAATGTATGATATGATTTGTATATGTAGGTGAGAGCGTTGAATGTTCAACTACAAATGGGAGTTTATTGCCTACGATAGGAGGAATCGATTGCGATAAAACTTTTTAAACTACTCTCAATATACTTTCTGTGTAGTTAATGAAACTGTAAATGGTCATTTTTGATTCTTGTTCAGTAAAAAGTGATAAATGTTTGTGTATAATGTATCCAGACAATGTAAGTTGTAATAGACGCAATCAGAAAGATCACACATTAATGGACTACTTTGATATTATAAATGAGTTCTTCTTACTATTAATGTGTTTTTGTTATTTATGTCTGGTTCTTGATTAAACCGTCAAAGAAGTATATCTGTACATTATCGATTTAGTCTAAACCCAAAGATATCGTAGAATTTCGTTAACTCATTGATATTTTACGCACTATTAATAATCAGAATACGTCATATATATGGAAACACAATTCATACAAGAATGTATGTTATACAGAATAAAAAGTCATAGGAGAAAACGAAACAAATATTACACTGGGTAATCATCACATTAAATTAAAACGGAATTAATGTTGAATAAAAATCATAATGAGTAAACCAATCTAATTTTGACCATTCATCCCATCATAACAGCCTCCATCTCACATAACCAGATAAGCAATACCCCTAGACCAGCATTATTTTTAGTTTTTTTTAAATAGATGATCATTTGTGTTTATATAAAATAGAGAAGTACAGCATGTTAAAAGCTTGATATTAATATTGTTAGATTTTCTTCAACTTAACCTTTCCTATGTATTCTATTCTTCTGTATTTTATTTTTCAAATTACAGGAAGTCGTATTCGTTTAATCACTGTACGAATGGCTATTCGTTTGCTAACAGACTTAGTGTATAGCGTCAGTTGTGGTTGTCAATTGTCCGATCAACATTTCGCTGGAATTATTAATGCTCGGGAAGAAGCGATGCTTGTTTTAAGGAGTTATTTTGAGGTATTCTTACTATACTTTTTTTTACTATAAAAATGAAGATGAAATAAAATGTAGGACGTATTCATATTCACTATAGTGAAATAGTGGCCTAGTAGTTGAAGTACCTGACTATCAACTACCGGTTGGCATGTTTTAATTTCGTTTCATCTCTACTTCCGTTCGTAAGGTCATAGGTAGTATCACCTAGTCATCATTGCATATAAAATCCATGCCTTGAAACTGACTAGATAAAGCTTGTGCCTTGATAACATAAAGATCGAATTCAATTTTTTTCAGCTTCATATAGCCTAATGGATTATATCGTTTCTTGTGAGTGTCCTGGTACGGCCGAGAGTGGGGAGAGTCACCTCTCCCTCTCGAAATACTCTCATATGGCCAGCGAATATATAGCCTCTGCCAGGGAAGTCCTACTCACTGCCTTCTCGTGGCGGGGGTGTTGTTTACGAAAGTGAGAGGACGAAAAGCGAATGTCCGGCGCTTTAACCGGGTTGGTGGACATGGAAAGTTCACCTAGGGGAGTTGGAAAACCCTGACTCCAAACCAGTGGTGCACATGGGCTCCAGTATCCTGAGGGAACGAATGGCGGAAGAACCTGTCATTGGTCAACGGCTACCATGGGACTGCATCTCCTCACGATGCTCCACTGCCTTGTGGATCAGACATTCAGGTCAAAGGCTCCGGGTGTGGCCCCCTAAGAAAACCACCTGCTTCAGTCTGGGCACCTGGGCAGTATCACAGCCCTCACAAAAATCGAATGAGATTTGTGAGGCGCATATTTATCTGGTGCTTCATTGTACCAATATTTATGTGTTTAAATAAATAAATAAAATAAATAATTGTGAGTGTTTAGTTTTTAGTTGAGTTCAAGTGTATTCAGTTAATTAGATACATGAAACATTCAGTTTATATTTAAATGCTTACTATCATTGAATGTATTGTATAGCATGAACATCGTAGTTCAGACATTTTCCCTATAAATTAATCGCACTATCATCCTAAATAGTAGCTAACGTTGTTTTATAAATCTAACTTATCAGCTTAAACATGTGATTACTTTCAATTCACTGTTGATTATCTAATCATGTACATGTATCATTTACTAAGTTAACATGGTAATATTGATAACTTATACACATACTCGTATGCAGTCATTTTGTTCATTAGAAAGACAAGAGTATTTGAACGAAGTCATTAAAGGTTCCAGTGGGTTAACCTAAACAAATATTCGTTCCTCAATAGATGTTTTCTAATTCAGTGTCTTGCTTCACAGAGTTCTATTGTATTCCGAAAGATGGCATATGATTGGGTTTTTAAAATGATAGTTTTGAAATTATCGTATCGTTCTCCTTTGTTTTACGTATTTTGTATGATTCATATAAATCCAGGAGGCTTTATCATTCATACTGTCCAATTCTGTCTGTACTGTAGCTTCATTCAACAGTGTATTTGATCGTTAGATATTTTGAATGTTGGTTATTCAAAGGTTTAAGAAAATAAAATGGTCTCTACGAATACTTTGGATACAATTCTACTGTTTGTCACATGCTCTGTTACATTCAGCGTATCGTTAGAAGTATTCAGCTTGAAAATTGGACCATGAATTGTCTGACAAACTAGAATCTACTACTGTTGGCAAAGTTGCAAGAGTGTGTTATTTCGAGTCTGAAAGATTATCTCATTTATCAACAGAATAAGATGTATTAAATATGATTATTTCGGGAATGAATTAACTAGATGCAAAAATGGTATGTACTCTGGACCAGGAGTTCTGTGGAGGTGGTCGCGAGACAGTGGTATTAAAAGGACTGTATGGTGAAAACAGTAAACCAAACGTCTAAAAACTAGTATTTATAGTCACAACCTTCAATAGTGATATCTGTTGGCCTAACTTGACCGTATATTTGTTCTGATAAAGCTAGTGTTTTTTGTGAGGGGGAAGAAGCATTCAGTATTGTTTCTTGATTTCGATATAGGAATTTACAAGGGGTTATCGCTCAAAATATATCATCAGTTACCATAGCAACAGATAGCTAATTTAACTGTATATATCATGAAAAATAAACATGGATCTTTGTCAGTTAGACGTGAATTGATATTTTGAATTGATATCTGAGGACTTCGTTTTTAATAAATTTATCAGTGGACGAATATTGTACCACTAATGTAGAGACACCGACCATTGTTTATCAGATGCCAAAAAAACTTTGTAGACACATGGTAGGATTTGGCTTTTATTCGATTTCTTTAATTATCTAGATATCTAGATGTAGCAACCCAGAAAACGGTATGTAGTTCACTGATTTCAAGTAAAACTTACATGATATACGGACTAAATCATTCATTAACATTAATGTGATATTCTCAAAAAACCAAATGATTGTTCTGTTGAAGCAAACTACATAGTATGTAAACAGCTAACATTCCTACTGGATAGTTTGGTTTCATTGAAAATCTACTGGTTGTGATTTTGATACCATTTTCTTAATGCATATATTTTATTTGTATTCAACATGAAATGCGAAAGCAGATAATTCACTTTTAGTATCCTTCCTTATGATCATTTATTCATCACATTAGGGATTTAACATTTTCATACTAGCTTTTTTCTTCCATACAAATGTTGTGTAAATTTTCAATAGAAAAAATGAGCGTTTTTTCTCTCGTTTACATTAATACGTTCAGGTTCCATGTAGAGGTGTGAGAGAGTAGTGATTGTTATGAAGTCGCAGACTACAGTAAAACGGTTTTTCAGTACCACACTGAATCTCATCCGTTTCAGCAATGTCATTTCGTGATTAACCACCTAAATCATGTTTTAAATAGGTATCACTCTGTCAAGTTCAATTATCTGAAGCTATCATTTATATATATATATATATATATATATATATATATATATATATATATCATAACTAAACATTCAAAATTGATTCATATCTCAGGTTGACTGGGTTTGACAATATCAATCTTTCTGATAGACAGACCTAACAATTCATAATCTGTTTTGGTTATATGAAAATGTTAGACCAAGCAAGGTAATTTGTAATGATAATAATAATAGATTTATTCAATACCATATATTTAGTACAATTTAGAATTCTCGGCATTAGTCAATGGTCACAATGAAATAGATTGCATAACTATATATTATAGGTAGAAGGTACAAATTGGTGGTAATAAGACAGGTTTACTAGTACCGATAAGAATAATAAAATGACAAAGGTTCAATATAAGAACTTTCGTCTGATTTAGAGCGAATAGTTTCACAGTATTTGACCAGATTGCCAGGCGAAACGTTGGATTTACTTCAAATTCATTCGCTGAGATTTTACAAATATATTATTCCTATTTAATGTCTAACAAAAGTTCTATTCATTAGTTCAACACAGGAAGTCAAACTTGGATAAATAGACTTCAAAATAGTAATAAAAAACACTATTAAAATTACGTATTAAGAAGTGTATAAGTAGCTGAATAGTGAAGAATATAAGTGGAAAGAGGTGAAAAATGACGAACACACAAGATGTGAAAAAAGTCGTTTACTAGGTCATGCTCACCTAAAGATGGGACAGGTATGTCACTAATTTCTTTTGAACGCATAAACCAGGGTTATAGTTTCAGATCCCTATTGCCTCTGGCGTATATGGAAGACGGGATCAAATTCCATTGGGAAACGACGATGGCATACGATGAATCACCTGAAATGATTTTGTTTTATCTACCTTATGACCACTTCCAACCAGTTGTGCCATGGTCATTTCAAAGTCAAGATGGAAGATGTTCACTCGTTCGTTAGTTAAGTTGCCTAGTAGTAAGTCCAATATAACCATCTCTTCAGGAGCAGTTGAATTTATAGATGGATATCGAAGAGGAGAACTTAGAATTTGTTTGAGTAGATATCACTGGTTTAATAGAACATGCCAATGCATGATTGGTTGCGTAAAATGTTCATTTAACCATCATCGCTAATGCTTTATGCAGGACATTGCTAGGCATAATCTAGTTGAATTGTAACTTTAGGAAAGGGACTTTCTTACTATCGTTTCATATCTCCAACTTGTTTCTCTTTCTATATATGTGCTTCTTTAAAAATTTTTTTCTGGTATGCTATGTCCGTCAGCTTATTAATATTCCCCAACTCCTTTATGGTATCATCTAAGATCTCTTTTGTGGAGGATGAGTATAAAACTATAGGAGTGTGTATTGATACGGGAAAATTTTCTTCACACGTTTCTGCATAACGAGACCTCACATTATCTACTTAATAAAATTTCAAGGAAATCTGATTTATTGTCACATTCGTCCCCAGCATTACCAGATGTACACTTAAACTGATTTAGGAATTCTATATGAATGTTCTGATCTACGATGATAAATGTGTTGTCAATGTATCGACAGTATAGATCTGGCTTGTCGACAACCTCATGAAGGGGTCTGTTTTCTAAGCTCGTTAGGAAGAAATAGACTTAAATCGGCTACAGTTGTGAACTCATAGCTATCCCATCGACTTTTTCCATCATAAATATTGTTGTCGACAAAATGACCGTTCATCAAACATATTAGGAGTAATTCTTTTAGACTATCTTCAGGGAAGCCAATTTTTTGTCTTTCTGATATTTGTTTACATATGAACTCGATTTTCTCGTTTACTAGTAGTAAATTAGTAAATAAAGATACGACGTTTAGAGAAATGTTTTTCTTTACTAACATTCATTCTTCCCACTTCGGAAGTGAAGTCAAGAAGGTCATTGACACTTCTTTTTACAACTAATTTGTTCAGAGTCTCTAGGATTCAAACTAACCAGTCAGCTATTTTCAATATAGAGAATTGTACTTATGTAGAAGTGAACAGAGAAAAAGACACGACTTATAAAGCCTAGGTAGACCGTTGAATCGTGGTGTGTTTAATCCAACTGGTTAAGTGAATCATAAAGCTCAGACGAAATTATCCTCCTTCGTTTTAAGATTTTTGAGAGAACTAGTCATCTGTTACCCCGCTTTTTCATTGTTGTCTTTGTTATCGATAAGTTCTTTATATTTAGTAAGGTCATTAAGCATCGAATCCATTTTGTCAATGTATTCCATTTTGTACATTGAAACTGCACCTCCCTTATGAGACTTGGTTATGGCCAAGTTATGATCTTTGCTTAACTGTGTTAACCCCCTCCCCATGTTGCTTGTTTAGCTACATTTAGAAGCATATTTGCTATTGTTGGCAGCTATCGACTAACGTGGTATAGAGCCTAGAAATCTCGTCTAGTGAGAATAAAAAAAATCTCTAATTGAACCACATCTAACGCAACACTGGAAAAATTATAGATACACTGTTTCGAGTCTAAAGGAAATTACCTTCCTGGTTTTTGATTCTCCAGAGTTTCCACTAATTTTTCTATTGTTTTCTCAGGTCTGCTTTGGGATACCATACCACATAATCCATAAAAAGTGGTTTATTTCCAATGGTTTGTTTTCGACAGCAAACTTCCTCTCTAGGAGATTCCTTTCTAAGTCACTGATATTAATTTTTGAATAGTTTGTTTAAGTGCATGTCTTTTAAGTATTTTTAAATTAGAGTGGATTTTACGGCGCAAAGATTTCTAGTGATTTTTAGATTACTACTAGTCTGTATACAATCATTAGTAAATTCCAAGGTTGCTTTCGCTTCAGTGAAACCTGGATTGGAACTCGAGAATTCATTGAGTCCCTGGAATGTAGTAGGATTCCGGGGTGATTTTTAAAATTAAAAAGATTCACATTGTGGACCAATTAGATCATCATCAGGTTTTACTATATATTGAATCAATTGATACACTGTCAGCAAATGCAGCTACACCATAGGATTTGTTATGGTCATTATGTGTTACTGAGATTAAGGTATTTTATCTACGTGAATTTCATAAGTGGGATGTATAGCTAATAATGGAATCATTTACTGGAGTATATAAGTACTCTGAACGATCGATATCACTTTTACGTAAAGAAGTATTCATACAGAAACTGCTTAGTTTGTAACAATTATTTAAATTCTTGTTATGCAGCGTAATATGTTTTCAACTTGTTAGGCAAACTTGTAAAAATATCAATGTTCCGACTGGTGTCCAAGGTCAATGCCTTTCCATAGTCTTCACCTCATCTTTCCTACTCAGTTAATTCATCAATTAATATGATTTCATAATAAAAGAAATTTGCTATGACCATGAACGTCCATCATATAATTTTTATTATTAATTAATTATGTGGGTATTATTGGAAGAAATAACTTTTTGACTTTTCTATTTTCTGACATTTGGTTTCTTCCACCAAAACTAGATTAGTGCAATATTTCTAGACCTGTTTGAAAACGAATTACGTCGTATTCAATCAGCACTTCCTCTGCTATCTACATTAGCTACAGATGCTCGCCTGTTAATACAACCATATTCATCATTCTTGGAGCAATCAGAGATAACTAAAGATACTACTAATGCTATAAGTAGTAGTAATAAGATGCAAATGTTGACATGTGATGATATGGATTTAATCTATCGATTACCGAATAATGAACGTGAGCATATTCAACGTGCAATCGGTATCTATCTTATTGTACATATTTGGTTGGAAAGAATGCTGTCTTTAAAAATGAATGTTACCTCATGTCAAGATGTAATTGTCGATGCTGATAACATTTGTTCATCAGTTCATAATTCGGAGATATTTCCAAATGATTTATTTTCCAATCTTGTTGGTATACCTGGATTAGGTGGATTTTGTAGTATATCAGATCCTAAATCAACTACACCTACATTAAAGACAGGAGATAGACTAGATCTATGTGAGTTCAGTTCTTATATTAATCATCGTAGATTTTTTTTAATTTTCTAGCCTACTCTTGTAATGTACAAAGTAAAAACAACGTAAGTGTATGTATATACATGTATAGTTTAGTTCTAGTTAGTTATATGACCTATATAGTTAAAATGTTATTAGTAAAATAGTAGTTATCCCCTGCTTCGGTCTGGACATCCCATACACAAATCAAATCAAGTGACAATTACTACTGGAACTATTATTCTTGCTTAAATTAAAATTCAGACAAATCACATTCATATTCATTCGAAAACATTCATTTTTGTTTTTTTATATACTACGTCACTTATCTACTCTCTTCTATTCTCACTGTGTGTATTCTTATTTTTCAACTTATACAGCAGCTCACCTATGGTAGAAAGCCTGTCCTATCTAAACGATCTCGAGTCACTGACTACTTGAAATTTAAATGCTGCCACCGAATACGAATACTGAAATAGTCTTTCTGAAACCACATATACCATTCAAACTGGCTTCCTTTGACGTTCGCACACTAATGCAGATCGAACAATAGATAGGGTTGGCTATGTCTTTATAGTCATAATGTAGCGTCGTGCTCGTACGGCGAGTTATCCAATTATATTGTGGCGTAAATCTGATTCTGTCTATACTCGTATATAATAAATGACTTTATTCCGCGTTGGTGAATAACGGAATTAAATAAGTCAAATACGAGAATGGATTTAGAATACATATATTTCCTACACTCATTGATCTGGCCAGGGAATCAGAACGATGAAGTAAATAGATGAGAGCAAAACATAAATGACATGCAGTGGAGATGGCGGAGAAGCCAACTCGATATGAGCAAGCATTACTCAATATTTATAATCAGGCAAAAGTGAATGACAGACATATGATGAATAGGATACGAAGTGTGCACATATATGCTCATATAAAAGTATAGTCAATGTTAATAAGCGAATAATTAACAAGATCAAAATATGACTCATAATGGATAGGCGAATTGGCTTGGCCAGCAACTAGAATAAAGTATATGGGCTTAACATATAAACTGATACTACAATAATATCGATGTCTGTTGTCTTTCCAAGACCTGTATTCACATTTACTTACTTACACATGTTACCCATCGTGAAAGAGCATAGGCCACCAACCAGCATTTCTCATCCAACCTTGTCATGGACAATCCTTTGCAGTTCTTTCCAGTTGATATTCATCCTTTTCATCTCTGCCTCTAATTCCCGACGCAGTGTGTTCCCTGGTCTTTTTCTTTTGGCTTCAGGATTTCAAGTTAGGGCTTGCCTCGTGATGCAGTTTGGTGATTTCCTCAACATATGTCCGATCGACTCTCAACATCTTTTCCTAATTTCCTCCTCAGATGGAACCTAGTTTGTCTTCTCCCACAAAAGGCTGTTACTGATGGTATCTGATCAATGAACATTCAGTATCTTGTGTAGATAACTGTTTATAAATTCTTGTACCTTGATGATTATGATGGTTCTCCACGTTTCATCTCCGTACAGTAGAACTGTCTTGACTGTCTTCGTAATGAAGATTGTGACTTTGATATTGGCTGACAGTTGTTTTGAGTTCCATATGTTCTTCAATTGTAGGAATGTTGTTCTTGCCTTGTCAATCCTCGGCTTTATATCTGCATCAGATTCTCCTTGTTCACCAATGATGCTTCCCAGTTACGTGAATGTTTCCACATCTTCCAGAGTTTCTACATCAAGTGTGGTTGTGTTGATGTTCTCCGTGTTGTATTTGAGGATCTTGCTTTTACTTTTGTGTATGTTGAGGTCTATTGATGTAGATGCCACTGCTACATTAGTTGTCTTCGTCTGTATTTGTTCGTGTGTATGGGATAGGAGGGCTATGTCATCTGTTAAGTCCAAATCGTCTAGCTGGATCCAATCTGTCCATTGTATTCCGTGCTTTCCCTCAGATGTGGAGGTCTTCATAATCTAGTCAACAATCAGAAGAAAGAGAAGAGACTAGAGTGGTCAATCTTGTCTGGCTCCGGTTTTTACTTGGAATGCATCTGTGGGCTGTCCTCCATGCACGACTTTGCACTGTAATCCGTTCTATGAGTTCTGGATAATGTTGACAATCTTCTGAGGAACTTTATGGTGTCAAAGAAGTTTCCATAATGTTTTCCTATCCACACTGTCAAATGCTTTCTCATAGTCAATGAATTTGATGTATATTGACGAGTTCCACTAAACTGGTTGCACAACGATGATCTATGGTGTCTCAACTTGGTCTGTGGACGACCGATGCTTACGGAATCCAACCTGTTGATCTCGAAGTCGAGCGTCTACTGCGTCTTTCATCTGGTTCAGCAACACTGTTGTAAAATTTCTCTGATTCCGAGTACTGCCAATTTGTATCTCCTCATTCCCATTGCTATTTGACTGGTCTACCCGGTCTCTCACATTGTCCGGACGTTCCATGTACCTACACTAATTGTTGCTCTGGTTGTTAAAAGGGACGTCGGCCTCGAGACTAGTGAAATATTAGAAATTCGCTCTCCATCCGTCGCTTCGAAAATCTTGTTTGACATGTACTTATCCGGGGACGCGGGAAAATCTTCATCTGGTTTTGCTGGCCTTTGTATCGCACTAAGCTCTAGAGCTGAGGCAGCACATCTATTGGATCCTCATTAACAATCGATTATGTATTGTTAGATTAGCAAACTCTATCAAAGGAAGAAGTAATCGATGTGAGAAACTATGTATTTTCGTCATCTCCACCTACGCTCCAACAGATTGCAGCCCGGATGCTATCAAGAATAAGTTTTACCACCAGTTAACTGTGTTTGATAGATATTGTAGTACTAGCTGCAAACGTGAGTGCTCATATAGGGCGTCTAGCTACAGAAGAGAGTTGTTTATGTGGTCGATGGGAACTTGTTGGCCATTAGAAAGTGTTCCAACGTCATAGAACGGGTTGATAATTGTCCTTATCTTTGAAAAAGATTCTTGTCATTTTTGTAACAGGGGATATGTTTACTTTCGATTGCGTTCAAACTGTTGGCTTCGATCATACGTCGTAGGCTGTTCAAAACTTGAGAAAGATTGACTCGCGAGGAGCAGGCTTGTTTTCGTTCTGGTCGAGGATGTATTGATCATATCTTCACCCTTCGCCAAATGTTAGAACACCGTCATACTTATCACAGGTCAACAATCGTAGAGTTTCTTGACATTAGGGCTGCCTTCGATTCGTTGGACAGGACTGTTCTGTGAGATTGTCTATTGAAGAAATTTGCTTTAACATTTATAAACAGTCTTAAAAGTTTTTTGAATTGTTTAAATATTCTTATCGTCAATTATTGTTGATGGTTATAAAAATGAACATGTGAATGTGTTGTGAATTTGATTTGCAGAATTTCAAAATCAGCACAGCCTAATCATGTCTATGCTAAGAGTACATATATTCAAATTGAACTACTCATTTAAAAATCTAAATCTCTCATTCTCTTGCATCCGTACATCTGACGGATAACAATATACGATAACAATATATTTAGATTTGCTTAGATAGATTCACTAACAGTTAATTAAATTCAATTTGATTTTTTAGTGGCTACTAAACTTCAGATATTCATCATAGTTCTACGCCTATAATTTTAACTAAACATAAACTACTTATAGCTCAATAAATTTTGAATTAGCAAATTAGATCTTAGTACTGATAGTTGTGTTGTAGATGTTGGTCATTGGATTTCGCAAAGTGCTAAATGTGTAGCTCGATCTTACAAATTTGGTTTCAGTTATAGATTTTTGAGAGATTTTTCAACGTGTGCTAAAACTTCGACGTTACTAACTCTTGATCCAACACTCGACATTTTCAACTTCTGTCAGTTTTCGGTAGATTACAACTATTATGTTTATCTATTTTGGTGACCGTGATCGTAATATTAAGTAGGTCATGGCTTTTCATTAAAACACTTGGTAAATCTTTGACAATATAACTCTTTACATCTATAATTTAACTGGGTTATTTGAAAGTATGAAGATACGAAAGCAATCTGATACTTCTCTCTGTAATATCAGTATTCATGGTAGATAATCATCTCCAACTTTCTTTGTTATTTTGGATTTTCATTTTTAATAAGGTCAATGTTATTATTATTACTTTAGTCTCTGAAACCCTGATTGGATGTACAGTGGAATGTTCTGGCATGTAAGTATCCGTAATTTCTATTCACCGTTTATTTCTTTTTCAATAAAATCGTTCATCATTGGAATTTTCCTTGTTGTATATGTTGTCTTTTATCTTAATCCTTTTTGCGTAACAGTAAGTTTTTACTAAAATATATAGTTTTATTAAGTTGCCTTTAACGTGTATCATTGATTTCTTATAAGGAAAAGTGATTATCACATTCAGTAGTGATATACTACTGTTATTATTGTTATTCTCATGAACGATTGATGCATGAAGCGAATAAAGATTGAATATTCTTAAATGTGATTAATAGATATTGATTGCTCTTAGTCATGCATCTTTGTATAAAACGAACTTTACATGGTATATATGACTTCCGTCTTTAAGAATATATATATAAGCAGCCGATTTAATTCGCGATTGCAGAGCTGTACTACCAACTGCATTGAGGTGGGATGGCAATAAAGTATTCCTTTCAAACAATAAGGATCTTTATCAATGCTGCCTTCCCACGATGGAAAAATGGGGTTAGAAAAGGTTGACTCAAAAATACTACACTTCACACTAGCCCATGGATTTCTTTTGGTTACGATTAAGCCTCTAAAGTATGGAGCTAACTCATCTAAAACTTTTCAAAAATAAAAAAGCAGTCCCTTAGCAGTTGTCTATCATACATTGTTGTCACGCTCTTTGGTTTTCAAAACCATTCATAGCTCAGTTTACTTTTCAGATATCCTTAAGAAGACGTTTCCTTTCATGGTTTGTTTGTAAATAACGGAAATGAATTAATACTTACAATTGAACTTGAACATTAATCATGCGCCAATGAACACAAAAAGAACTAGAGTTGTGTTAGTATCGGTGGTAGCTCGATTGTCAATTATATATCCTGTATTTTTATACATATTCTGATTTGTACAGTTTCTTGTCTCATGAATTCATGGTGGATAAAGTTGATGTGATTCCGTATTTTGCTTTATGATTTCGGTTGTAAATCGATTATATTGTTGAAGTAATAGTTAAAGCTTATTAGCCCGATTTAGATGATTTTGAGTTAATAACAAATAAATCTGTGTTGGCAAAAAGGTATTCATCAAATCTATATGCATCAATTTACTAGCTGGCGTTTGTAATTTCAGCACAATTTATTCTTCAACATGAAATATGCTATTATATATATATATATATATATATATATATATATATATATATATATATATATATATATATAGTACTCTTTTGTCTATTCACGTTTTAAACTCCCGTCTTAATGTAAAATGACTGGTATTTAATCAATTAATAATACATCCCAAGTGTTAATTTCAATTAAACGGATAGTATTGATGTGTGATAATACTTAATTCAATAATTCGGAGGTTAATGCTCATGTCAAGAAAGCCGCACCGTTTTTTATTCTAACTGAAGAAATATCTAACAACGTACACCCGATTGGTTGTGGCGTTCAATAAAACAAAATAGATGTTTAAGTCTGAAGTAAAGTGATTGTAATTTTTAATATGTAGTATACATATAACTGAGATAATTGTCTTCTACTTTGTCACGTTCATGGTCGTGTTTTTGTATGTTCACTCGAAAAAACAACTGTTGGGTACTTTTTCGTTATCAATAGCTCTCTAACAGATATCGATATGTTGTTAAAACTAACGTGAAATTCAATAATCTGCACAAACTGTTATTTGAATGATCAAATCGAGGTTGATGCTTTTCTTTTGACTTTCTTCATGCATAATAGGTGTTCTAACTTGGTGTATATATCTTTTTTAATATACATTATAGTCATGAAAAACGTTTTATAGTTAGTTGTGGTCAGCAGTTGGTTCTGGTAAAACCTGACTCAAAACAACTTGGTTGGGGTGTCATAACATTCATTGGACCATTACAGGTTAGTAAATATTTACATAGTTATTATATTTGCATTTGTAATGAATCTCATCTTAATGAATTGAATAATGCTTATATTTATACAGAACAAGTGCGGTTTGACAGTTTAACATCCACTTCAGTGATAATTGTAGGAAATTATAATTGCTATTCTATTTTTTCCCTTACTTGTTTATTGGGTTCCATCATTAATTGTATAAAGTTAAAGTCTATCCGATCGTATTTGCTTACTTATGACTTATCAAGTTGTGAATGAAAACATTTCAATAAACTTTTTAATTACTGAACAGTATTAATTTATTTCAAGTGTCGTATTTCGGGTATGGAATGAAACTGAGGTTTCGGATGATCGTTCCATCCTAATTGAAACTCTTCCACTATACGTACATGTATCCCAGTATTGATATATCGTATTGCTACCTACTATCTATAACAATCAATCCATAAATCAGGCCGATATACATGTATTGAAGCAGACGTATTGTTAACATTGTTCAGTTTAAAGTTAGTTTTTATTTTAGTGATATCAAGAGAATTATTGTGAAATGATGTGCATTCGGAATCCATTTCGTCCTTGTTTGTAGTTCTTCAGCAATGTGTGTTAACGGCTTTTTTAGGAATCAGATCCAGATTTTTTGTCCATTAAATAATTCAGTAATTTGACAAAATTGCAAAACAGTGAAATTTTCTTCATTGGTATAAGAAACAAATTGTTTAGAGCGAAAGGCCAACATAAAATGTGTGTGTGTGTGGATCTATCCAGGTTGCCGTAACACGTTAGCAGGACGAGGTAAATGAACAAAGAGATCGAAATAACGTGGTAGAAATGATAAAAAAATCTAAACCTTTGTAACATGGTTTCAAAATAACAATCTGATCATGCCTGTAAACTGGTGTGAATTCTGTAAATAATATTTTCAGAATATATATTATTATTATTATTATTATTATTATTATTATTATTAAAAGACAAAAGAAGGATATGCATGAAGGGATACTAGAACTCAACATCTAGAGGAAAATTGGGAGTAAATATATCTGCTCCAGTCATCCAAAATCTCAAACCACTGATCTCAGTTGTCACCCATATCCCAGCTAAACAGTTTGAAACTATCTTTTCGGCTCAGCCTAAAAGTTTATGACGTCATGGACTGGTGCCGTAAATATTTCGTAGAGATTTTCTACTACGTCAACCAATTCACTACCCTTGCCAAATAACCTGTGCTAAACCTCAAAATTTCTTACTTGGTCATATTAGCTTTAATAATACTTCGACGCTTAATCAAAGCTTGTGAAGAGCAGACTAAAGAAAACCAGGCTGGTTTTCGATCTGGACGTGGTTGTATAGACCAGATATTTACTCTACCTCAGGTCCTTTAACATAGACACACATTCAGACGCCCCACAATCGTAGTATTCCTCGACTTTAAGGCGGCACTTGACTCCGTTGATCTGTGGTAGTGTTTGTCACTGAAGGGAGTACAAAAGAGGTACATTAACCTTATAAAGGCTCTCTACTCGAACACAACTGGTCGAGCTAGAGCCTATGGCGAGCTGTCATCAGAATTGATTACCTCAAGTGGTGTTCGTCAGGGCTGTCCACTCTCCCCATTCTTGTTTATTTTTGTCGTTGACATGCTTTCAGAGATAACACTTTCCTCATCTAAATCTCCAAGAGTTGAACTTTTACCGGGAGACTCACTTGCTAACTTAGAATACGCCGATGACAAAATTCAGAGTCTTCTGACTACTATACGCAACAATGCAGGTATGTTCGGGATGTGATTCTCTCTCTCGGAATGCAAAATGCTACTTCAGGATTGGGTTGCATCGACACCTGAACTAATGATAGGGAGTGAAGTAGTTGAGCGTGCTGACTGCTTCACTTATCTTGAGAGTCTCATCAGTCCTTGTGGTCTGGTGTGTGACGAAATCTCAGCACGGATACAGAAGGTTCAACTAGCTTTCGCCAACTTGCGTCATTTATGGCGTAGGAGAGATATCCGTCTAGCAACCAAGGGACGGGTTTACTGTGCAGCAGTTTGCTCCGTCCTACTTTATGGCATTGAAACATGGCCGATAAGAGTAGAGGATATTCGTAGGCTACTAGTGTTCGATCATAGGTGTCTTCGAAGCATTGCTCGTATATCCTGGGACCACCGGGTAAGTAATACAGTTGTTAGGAAACAGGTACTAGGTAATGATGGCAAATCGATTGATGAAGTAGTGAAACTTCATCAGTTGAGATGGCTAAGACACGTGCTACGTATGCCCAACCACCGACTGCCCCGACGTGCAATGTTTCATGGTTTAGGAGTAGGGTGGAAGAAAGCTAAGTGCGGCCAGACCAAAACGTGGCACAAATCAATGAAGTCACTTACAAGTGGACTGAGCCATGTTGGTAGGTGTAGACAACCTGATTGAGATCCACGAGATGATAAAAACCGATGGTTAGAGACCTTGAATGACTTGGCTCAAAATCGTTTGCAATGGTGAAGGTGCATCCACTCTTTGTGTTCTTCCAAATTCTAATCTTCTGAATTATTCATGTCCCTATCTTTTTTCTCTTTCCAAATTTATTTCACTGCATTATACTCCTTGAATAACATCTTCAAACCCTAATCTTTCGGGTTACTGTTTATACTCTTACTACTTCTACCACTATGGGATCTGAATCGACAACTGCATCTGTGTGCTAATGTGGTATGGCAACTAGACCTGATGTACGTACTTACGATGTTCTACGTTGTGACTAACTAACTAACATTCCACAACAGTCAAGAAATGTTTTGAAGACACATGATTAGAGATCTTCAGCCTACGTGTGTCTTCTACTTTCATAGACCATGTTTTATAACTATAAATTAATAAAGGACAGGCCTCTGCACAGTATATACACCTTTTGGTTAGGAGAGGAATATCTCACCTACTCCACAAGGGACGAAAGTTGGCGAACGCCAAAGGGGCTTTCCGAATCCGTGCCATGATTTCTGAAAACACCAACCTATGAGGGTTGATAAGACGTCAGATAAATAAAGTAGTTCGGGTGTTAACGTAGACCTGTTTGAAGCAAAATTTTGTATTAAAAGAGAGAAATGGATCCGACACATTGTTGCTCAATGCGATAAAAAAACTTTGCATCCTGTCAGCGTCCAGTTAGAAAAAAAAAGCCAGTTTTAGGTCGAATGTATTTATATTCGGATTAAGTGACTTTTTGAAAAAAATGATTGAATTTAGAAAAATTGGGAGTAATTACTATTATTACTGAATGGGGCTGATTAAATCAATTTTTGTAATTTCCCGTTGAACAGTTGAACAAGAATGATAGATAGTAAACATGTTTTCGATTAATAACCTTGATGTTAGCAAATTGCAAAGACTTTTCTACTCATTGGGATATCACAAAAATATATTTATTATTAAAACAATTGTCGTCCTTCATTTTGACTCATAAACTTATTTGTTTTCGTACTCAATGTCTATGTGTTAATTATTCACTGATTCTTTTTGACAAATGAGACTTTCTAATTTGTTTTTCTTCTACAGAAATAATGTGATTTGCATTCTCATGATAGAGTCGGGGAAAAATTTGATGTTCAAAGCAAGCTTAATGCATGCTTAGTTCGATTCTAATGTTCAGTCGATAAAATTCCAAGTCAGTAGTACTGGCATCCTGGTTAGTGTCCACACGATGCTTTAAGTCAAGTGTTAGAGGCATCTCGCGCGTAGTGCAAAAGTGATCGCACTGCTACAGCTACATTTATTATTTATGTTCTTCTAAATCTGTATTTGAGTGTTATCATTAACCTTTCAATCTCCAATCTTATCCGTTCCTTCCGAACTGTTTCTTTTATGGCTTTTTTTGGAACTTCTGTTGAAATTAGTTAATTTCTTTCCTTAGGTACTTATTTTGTTGATTTTCCTTTCACTGTACTGGCAGGGTATACGGCAACTTGGGTTGTTGTACATTCATGACAAGTGTTACTCTGATGATGACTTAAGTCAATGAATCCAACCCGACACGATTTTATTTTTATTTAACTTTCAGTTTTCGTCATCCCTAAGTTAAGTTTGTTAAAACGTTTTTATCAATTAATTCATCCCTAAATATAGGATTGGTTATTCACTCTTAAAATAATTTATGCATAATATTGATGGAGAGTTCCTGAACCAGAATGAAGCAGCTGTTCAGTACTACTTGATGTTCAATAACACCCAGGTTGATAATAATCGACAATGTAAACCAGTTTTTATATGAAACTGATCTACAAAACCTGTCCAACTATGTCTTTAATAATATTACTACAACATAACAAAGATTTTCCTAAGTCTGATGTGCACTTTATCTAAAATTGGTTTCTACATGAATTAAACAAGATGATTTCGCAGTTCTAATGTTTTGTTTTATTTCGGTTTCTAATTTGTTGTATAAATAGGATTTGGAATCTCATTGTGATCCAGCTGATAGTCGTTGTCTTCATGTGACCATTCATGCACCTGGCCATTTAACCTGTCAAAATTCTAGTCCTGGACGATTATTCAGTAATATTAATAATACTAATAGTAAATCGCCGATTATGGTTGCAAAGTTTCTATTTGAAGATCATATACGTTGTATGACAGCTCGGCAATTATTGTCCCGTGGTAAAACAGTCGTTGAACAAACGAAACTACGGAAGATCGCATCGTAAGCTATTGGAAATATTTATATTTCGAGTTTGGTGTGTTTCTGTCGATTCAGAAGTATAACTTTGATTATACTCGTTATTTCAATAGAGACAAGAGTTTTGCGAACATTTTCGTATATTTTGAGGGTAGATTAACTGTTGAGGTTCAAGAGGTGGAGGTTATTAAGAATTAATTGTGGTTTTCATGCCCAAGATGTTACCATGTCTTAATTGTTGGCTGAAAACGATTTTCTGTCTATGGCTGGGCTTACCTCTTCTGCTTAGAGTACATGTAGCTCCTTTTTTTATCACACTCTGATAGTTGATATCTGCACTGAAACTTCGTGCTGCTCGGCCGTTAGCATTTGATGAATATCGTTTTACTTATTTCTAACTCCAAGTCAATCCAAATGTGATTTTATTTATCACAACCTATGCGGTTTGTGTTGCTAGCTTGCTATACAAATACTCTCCAACCTTTTTCTAATCTCATTCAGGTCGAGGTGATGAATCAGTATATGTATTTGGGGATACACATCCACGGAAATGGCTAGGATGTGTATTATTCATGTCTCTCGAAACAGCACACCAATTAAAGTTATGTTGGAATGCAGATAAGGGTTTTTATTTAAAGACAATAAAACCTATTGATTGAAGTTAAACACAGGTGAAATGTCTTATTATTTCAATTCACTAACAATTAATAATTTGCAGAAATGTAGTCTTAAATGTAACTTCTATTGGTGAGTTATATAGCAAGTTTGATATATATATAAAGAATGTACTCTGTTTACCTACACCTTTCTTTCTTTGTTTTTTATAGTTTGCTTGACTTCCCACCTCAATTTATACGCGAAAAGTTTTTAGCTAACAACACAAGTACTGGTTACAACAGTGGTATTGTTGGTAGTAAAAACTATATGTGTAATAGCCAACACACAATGATTGTCAACAACCGTTTTGATCCGGCGAATACAAGTGGTATGCATTTAAATAGTATTAGTACTAGTGGTAGACGAATCGGTGCAAATGTAATAACTGGAACGAAAAGAGCTGAACAATCACCACCTGTGCAAATAAGGAAGTTTATAAGTGACAATGACAATAGTACTAATAACGATAGCAGCAGCAAGACTGGTGAAAGTGTACGCCCAGGTAATTTTGCGTAGAGTTTTAACCAATTGCTCGTTATATTTATGAGTTTATGTTATTAACATGTGCATATTTGAAGGCGGACAGACCATCACTATCATCATCTGGTCGTTAAGTTCTAGTTCCATTGTTTATATTTTTCTATGTTGTTTGAAAACAATTCAATACTCAGTTATATTCATGGTTTAGAATGAATCATCGGAAATTCATTTGGGTGTCATCACCTGTGTGGTTAACCTGATTAGGATTTGAAGAGAATTTTAACTGATGAGATTTAGTTTTGGTTGTGTTATGTAAAATTATCTGCTGAAGTTTAAAATTATGGATCAATGTAGTGTAAATAACCGTATGTTTTGTTGCTAGCTGGCACTCGTCAGCAAGACGCATCTACAGTCTTGATAGCCTTGATACTCTCTATAGGATTTGAACCAGAGGTTTTTAATCACTTATACTATCGTTCATATTGAATAGATTTCGATTAAAAGAACATGAAATTGGTTACCACTGTTTAGAAATCGATTAGTGCAAATTAATAACTGATGCTTTGTGACCTAAATAGTACCGTACTACTTATTCAGCTTAGTAAGATATATATAGCTTTTTCACAAATAAATTATTTGCTGTATTTTTTCTGAGTTTATATATCAGCATTTTGTTCTAGATAATGAATATGAAGTCATTTGACTAATTAGAAATATCTACTAATCTTTTAAGCTGATTACTCGCAACTGGAATGGTTAGGCATTATCAGTGAATTCTAAATTTAGTAAGATGATTTATTAATTTCGTTTTCTTGCCTACTTCACAATTAAATCACTGAAGGAATAATAAATCAAGCATGATTTAGAATGACGATTGCTGATAAACTCTTACTTTAAATTGAAGTTAATCAGTGTGCAAAAAACAAATATCTGATGGAGAACTATTAATGTCTATTTAATGATATTTATTTTTAAAGTGTATCGTTGTATATAACTACTTTTCAGTTGATTTTCTAAGATACATGGAGAAGCCAATGTAAGTTAAGGTAATTGTTTTACAGCAAATAGGTCTCAGGTTCAAACTCCACTCTACCTATGATCAGTTCGGGCAACTGAGTAGCATCACTAATCACCCAACGAAACAATATGGTTCAAATCTGACCTCATAAAATTGTATTCGGTAAATAAGTTTAGGAGAAAAGTAGTGAACTTTGTTATATGCGAAACAGCATTTCTATATGACTAGATTAATCTGTCTAATTGTATGAAATTCATGATTAAACATTCCTAGTTATTTTTTTTATTGGAATTCAAAAATAGCGCCAACTAGCATTTATCTTACAAAATAGTTTTGCAAAGACCATTTATATTTTCAGTTCAAACAGCTCAGAATTGGTAAGAACAAGTTCCTTTTGGACAGTGAATATGATTGAAGTGGGAGCAAAAAAACATTACGGCATCTCCAATCACTTCACAATAGTTCACGACCATCTCCTATTACCTGCAGTAGATAGCTGCCCCATCCCTGAAACGCATTAGCTCCACTGGTCACAGCTTCTCACTAGAACTTCGAGAATCACCTCTCGAAGCTAGTCATTAGTGAGCGCTTGGTGATTATCATTATGGTTAAAAAGTGAACAGAATTGATGGGAAGAGAACTATATTGATCATTCTTATCACTTTACCCTTAGATGTTAATGTTACTTTTTTTCACTTCAAGAATTTTCATCAAGAACTAACAATATATCTTGTCTTTTCTTGAAGATAATAGTCGTTACAATAACATTGTGTTGACAAAACACGATGTTTTTAGTAATCTTTTACTGTTTAGAAAATTTATCATAAATAATTTTAGATGGAAACTGTTTACAGTTCTGTTAGTTAGTAAAATCACTTTAATTATGATGGGAAGAAACAGCTACTTTGAACTTAAAAATTACTCAACAATTGTAAGTACTTAATCAATGTAAAGAGCCTTCTATTCATAATTGTATTCTGTCTGATATATTTCTTCTGATTAGGTGATTGTCTAGTTGGTCTGCAAGGTAATGCGAATACATCTGGTTGTTTACATGATACATATGGAACTGACGCATCATCGTTAGTGGCACCATTAGTTTGTTTGGCTAATTCAAATACTTCAACAATGTCAATAACTAAAGCAACAGAGTCAACTGCATCAACAAGTACTCTTGGTGAACCAGTTGTAAAACCTAATCCACTACTAAACTTTACTATCACTAAAACACCTAACAGCAGAATGATGAATCAACAAGAAATTTCTCAATTAACAACGTCATCTTCTGTTCACAAAACAGTAGGTGTTGGAAAGAGAATCACTGAGAAGAAGGAAGAGAAGCAACACTGGCCACAGCAACATGAGGATGATGAGGAGGAGCAGACTGTCGATGAAAAGAGAAAACTTATCAATTTATCTAAAGCATTTTCTAATTTAAAACCAGATATGTCTACAAATGACTATTTAAGTGGAAATAAACAAGCTGAACATAATTACTTATCTTCTGAATCCAAACAGTTAAATTATTCACCAGGTGATATTTCCGATGTGTAAAAATGAAAGACAGGGAGTATGGAAAACTGAGAATTTTTATCTTAAAATGCTTGTTTAATTACAATAATGGTTGTTATATTTTGTAAATACTCGTTTAAAACCGAACGAACAGATCAAAGAGGAGCGAATGCAATAGATCTATCAATCTATCTATTTAAGTATATATGTATGTGTAAACGAATAATACCTGCCAAAAGAACCATTTGCCTAACTACTTGAAAGTTGTTTGTATCTTTCAAGTTCCTGTCTTTCAATACTTCATTTCTATTTAAATTTCCCTTCTTTGTTGCTGAGTAAGCACAACAGAATGACTGAAATCTTGTATGCTCATGTTTTTATATAATTATGTGTAACTTACTATTATTACTACTACTATTACTAGTAAGTCGTGATAGCGTAGCGGTACCAATATGCAATATTAATCCTTTCTTTAAATGTAAATTGAGACAAATGCATTCATTATTATTTGTTTTAAATGTATTTAAGATTCATATTTTCAAGAAGAAAGAATAAATGTTTATGTCATTATTTAGATGCTTGTAATATTTTGTTATAACCAACATCGGTAGTGGTTAATAATCATTAATTAATTATTTTTTTTCTTTCTCTCTCTGCTTAAATGATAATCTTTAATTGAGTAGAGAGCGAAACGGAAATAATTGATAATATGTACTCTTTGAACTACTCATAAAAATATGTATTGGGTGACTAGCATAGAATCAGAATGAACATTTTTTCATTTTCCAAAAGGATAATTTATGTAAATTGTTCTTATTTATCAATTTTATAATTAATGATAAACAAAAATGAGTTTCATGATATAATTTACTCAAAAGACAGTGAATTTTTGTCTTGTTCAATCAAAAAATACACATATTCAATTATTACTAAGGGATCGATGAACTCAGTACTTTCGTGTGTATCCAAATTAACGTATCGTTAATTATTCTAACTAGTAAGCTTCTACTATTCCATTGCGAAATCGTATTTTTCATATCTTTTGTAGATATTTTTGTATTTCATAGTTATCTACTGACTTCAGTACAATGCTTCACAGTTATAAAGTATAGAAAACAACTTTTACGTTTTGCATCAAAATTATGGAAATAAATACAATAGTGTAGTACGAAAATTATTTTGGGCAGAAATATTTTTGTGGTTCTAAATTTGATTTTGCTGGTGACTATCCGTAAGAATAAAGTGAGAGATTCTCATTGAAAAGATATTTCATTTATTCATCGAATTATCTACCAACTTCATTGATGTCTTATCACAATAGCCGTTAGTATCTGGAAGATTATTTTTCTAAGGTGTTGGGGGAAATATTCGGCATCACTTAATTAACAGGATTTTTACAGAAGGAAATGATTTGTTCACTTTCCGGCTAATTCAGGCATAGGTTGTGTCTGGTCCTATTGTATAGAATAGGATATGGCGTCAATAGCTTCTTTCTTCGAACAATTGAGACACAAACGTGGTTACAGGTGTTTACTATTCACCAATGGACTGAAGTGCATGTGGGAACTTTTTCAGAAAATTAGACGTATTGTGGCCAGCAATCGAGTCTATGGTGCGCGTTCCAACCTATTTACAACTCGTCAGCCGAATATACGTGGATCTCGGTGATGTTTACATCGGAAATGTAATAATAAAAGGGAATGGGAGGCAAATATATCACATTATCAAAAACTTATTGTACTTTGATAGTTTACAGGAAGTTATAACTTTAATCCGCTTAGACGAGTGAGTGATCTTTATCAAGAACATCTGTTTTCTGATTTTTAAATCGAGTTCTATAAGTGTAGTGAACGACAACACACGTGGGAACAATGGAACGTATTTGAACACAAAATTACGAAATCTCTTAGTAAAATCTGAGAATCATACAGTAAATACTTAATTTGCAAAATATCAATCAATCGTCTCAAACTTGACTCCTTTTGCAAATATCAGTTAATCGTCTCAGTCTTCACTGTTCCTACATTTCCATACCAATCGCTTTCTATTTCCGTACTTTCATTCTCGACCTTCTGCTGCCAGATATTATATTCCTGACTAGCGTTATATACTACGTATGTCGATATAAGTAGCACACCACAAGTAGATTATAAGTGTAGGTAAGACATATGATAATTTTGTTCTATTCTGAGTGGCCTATCTTCTCACCTTTCATTGAATGTTTGATCGAATTATTGTCCGTTCATTAAATAGATATTATGTAACGGATGCTTCGAACTTTAAGCTGAACATGTGCAAGATATTTTTGATTTTATTTAGGTAAGTGAAATATAATATGGTAAGAGGTACTTTATACCAATTTAGTTTATGGTAAGAGACCAACATTAGCAATTTAATCCTATGAATATTCAGATGAAGAGATGTCTGTTTGTTCAGTAATTATGACTTCATTATTTCGGAACATTCACGCGTTAGGGATAGGATATATAGAAGGTTTCCAATGAAGCTGGAAAATATAGCATTTGACTTCGACATCGTTCTTCACTCAACCCAGCTCAGATATATGAAGTCTTACTGCACATTGAGTTGACTTTACTTTTGGGTGAATAATCTCTAGAATCCAATCGTTACTGAGCAGTTTTATTCTAAAAACCATTCGGGAATTTATTTGGCAATTCTTTTCAATATGTTCAAAATCAAGAAACTCAGATTCAATAGTATCTGATATTTTACTGTTCACGGGGTTTTTGTATTAAACCAGGACTCAGTTATATGACATAAACGTCAAAGACATTGAATTAACCTTAACCATGTGGATTATCTTTGTTTCCGCTAATAATATACACTGAAATGGTCAGTGTAAATGTGTGTTTTGGGGTGAACTTTATATTTGTTAAATTCATTCGATATAACTAAGACGGAGTACTTGGAACGCGCAGAAGCATTAGAACTTATATATAATAAATGGATAACCATCCGAAGTGAGATTTAAATATCAGGCAACTACATTTGAATAACAAACAAAAATACAGCTATGGAAATATGGATTTGAACATGGAAATAAGAAGTGACAATTTTCCACTATAATGTGTTTACTGAGAAATTCCCCGGATGTACAGCAAGAATCAGCAAACAAACTAGACTGTACAATTAGGATTAAATATTTTCATACTCTGTTAACAATGGATGAAGTGATTGGATCCAACTGTAGTTTAAGCTATTTACCAAAAAATAAAACAATCAAAACACGTTATGAAATACGAAAAGCTTGAATGTAGTGTCAGTTATTCAGGCAGATGTGGGAGTATAGATTGGTTATAAATAGAGGAAAGATGACTAAGAAACAGAGAAAGAGCTTCATCTTATGATATACTCATGGAATATGAGAATCGTCATATCTGTAGACAAGGTTCCATATCATACTGTCCAAGATTTAGTATCATAAACTTCAATGAATTATCACCCACCAGGTGTTCCTAAGAATCGAAACATAAAATTGCAACTTATTTTATCACACATAAGATTGTCACAAAAGTGAAATTATTTTGAAGTACTACTAGTTATGTTGGAAATTATGTTTAGTTTCTCCATGAAGAAGTTTGATCAAATTAGTAGATGTCATTCTTTGTTGTCCGGTTTTATTTGTCGATAAAATGCATGGAATTCTAAACATTAATCGGAGCCGTTAAAGTGATAGGAAATATGACCACATTTTAACTGTCGAATAACACGTTATCTTTTTGTTAAAACGGCTAACTAAAATTTTAAATTATAGGCTACTTGGTTCAGTTGTACGTAAATTCAAGAATATTCATTCGGATTTTACGTAGAAAAGTTGATCGTTTGAACCAATAAAACTATTGTTCACGTCAGAATATACTTTTGGCTACTTTTTTAGATCTTTCTGTACTTGAGAGCAAATTCATATCACTGAACAAATTATTCTCTTATGTTAATAATGATACACTCGATACCGTTACGAAACAACATGAAGTCTTATTATCAAATGTGAGTCAATTTTCTATACTGCAGAAAACTCGGACTTCTAACAAGAATAGTCCCGATTCCTTCAGACAAATAAATGATTCGAAAAGCCCTTTAAATTCATCCTTGAATACTTAGTCCTGTCCTTCATGATGTTAGCTGCACCTTCCTAGTTCATAGCAATTTCGTTATCTACTTTGCTATAAGTGTGGAAAGATTGAGCATACATAAGAAGTTTGCAAAAGTTCCAAGTCATTCACTTCTGAGACTCTGAATGATGGTGGATCAAGATCAGCTGACTTGGATATAAGGATGGCTTCGTTTTTGCTCACTATTGTTTGCAGCAACACTTCACATTTAATGCAAAAATTAATTGCTAACACAGGTAAGTCCCATTCATTTATTACTGATACTGGTAGAATAGAGTCAATTTACCGTTTCTTCATAATGATGTCTATTTAAAACCTACATGTAGTGTAATTACTGACACCAATGGCCATCAGTTAGCCATTATTGATACAGTTGATATTCCATTGAGGAAAGAAGAGGGTAGTTGTGTTAATATTCCTTTCCTAGTTAGTTAGTAAGGTCTATCCGTGCTTATGTTCAAGGGCCTAAGATTGCTGGATGTACGCATTCCTTTATGCACCAATTCTTCTGACAGTACCTTAATCAAAGATCTGGTTTTAAAATGCTCGAAGGCTGTGGAAGGTATGAAAATTCACCCAGCACATTGAGAAGTAAAAGGAGAGACGACCTTCTTGAAGCGTAGACTAATTTCACATAGTTTAAGAGAGGCCATGAAGAATGAGCTAATTAAACTGGTAGGAAAAGAGATAATAATTGCAGTTGAGTCGTTGAGATGGGCTAATCCCATTGTGACTCCATTAAAGACGGATGAAAAAGCATTCAGAATTTGTGGTGATTACCACCTGACATTAAATACTCGGTTATTGCAGCAGATTTGTATCAGTGAAGATATTCTATACAATTTAAGAGGATTAAGGTATTTTTCTAAAATGGATCTGAAAGATGTTTATTTGCAAATTCCATTGATGAGATCTCTATTGAACTAAAAACTATTAATACACCATAAGGGCTGTTCACATACAGATTCCTACTATTTGGATTAAATGTTTTCCCTGAGGTATTCCAGAAGTTGAAATTTTCACAAGACCCCTTCTGAGTATTCCAAAAGATTATAAATCAAATTATCACCGGTCTTAATGATGTTGGGTGGTATCAGGATGATATCGCATTTCTTGCCGAAAATATTAAATTGCATAATGGACGCCTTTTATGACACGTAGGGCCGTAAATCCATCCAAGTGTCAGTTTCAACTTAATTCCATCAACTGCCTAGGCTATACTGTAGATACTAAGGTTTTTAAACCTGATATGAGCGGCCTAGCCCCATTGATTTAAGCATCATCACCTACGAAAATCTCAGCACACAGATCATGGTCTGTTGCTCTTCAGTTTTGTTCCAGATTTATTCCTAACTTTGCAAAAATATTATTTTAACTTTTTGACTTAGTTTCTAGCAGAGTTTGTATGGGAACAACGACAAGATATACTGGGGAACACCTTATGGTTTTTAACTGGTAAGGCTTTCCTCTGACCGTTTACACCGACTGAACAATCTATCCTTACTATAAATGTATCTCCACTGGGATTAGATGCGGTTCTAGAGCGGAGTGGGGAACCTGTCATTTTTATTTTCAAATGATTAAGCAAGGGTGAACAAGGATATTCTCAGACACAAAAGGAAGCTTTGGTTATGGTATGGGCAATAAAAAGACTGCATCAATATTTGTTTGGTGTAAAATTTCATATTGTAAATAATCATCAGGCGTTAAAGTTTATTTACCATCCAGCTAAGTTACTTCATTGGTCATTCTCTGCCATGGATGGAATTCAGAGTTGGGTGCTTATGATTTCACCATTGAGCACCAAGTGGCCGAAAGCACACCGCATGCAGATTACCTCCCACGTTATTTATATTTCAGAAAACTACCAAATGAAAGTGACTGAATGTTGGGTCAACCATGACCTGTTGGTATTGCAGTACTTGTGAACAATACTTGCAATTATTTAGGGATTGTCATAAGTACAGTGAAAAGAGATTGGAATGTTCAGTGCAATCGTAGGTTCCCTGAGTTCTACAAAAGGAGAGAAGACATCTTACTACATCCTGAGGGTTTTTTGTGCTTTAATGATGGAGTAACCACTCCCTTCTACCTTAGATCTGCAGTATTAGACGACTTTCATTCCGCCCATTTGGGAGCAGAGAAAATGAAATTTCTTGCTCGTCAGACTAGTTGGTGGTCTGAGATCAATGCTGATTCAAGTCGGAAACCAAAGGACTGTCCTTCTTGTTTACATAAGCTGTCGTATAATAAAATCTACTTTGAATCCTTGGCCTGAATATTATGGATGGTGGCAACGTATTCATGTGGATTACTGAGGCCCATTTTTAAACTCATACTATGCCTTAGTTATTATTGATTCATGTTGTAGATGGCTATAAGTGTTACCCACAGACAGTTCTAGGGAACGCTTTACTCAAAGAGAGATGAGGAATATATTTAGTTGTGAAGGGATACCCAATGTATTAGTAAAGGATAATAGAACCGATTTCACAGAAAGAGTTTAACAACTCGCTTACTGATATTGGATGCCGTCATCTATTTACAGCTCCACAACAACTTCAGTCTAACGGTTTAGCAGAAAATTTCGTTCGGACTTTAAAGAGTACCATAACGTCAGTGAATCCGAATAATCTTGAAGAGCCATAAAAATGTATCGACGATTTCTTGTTCAACATTGTAATGCAGAACATTCAAGAACTTATGACCTTCCAGCTGAATTCCTTAAATCTCGCATACTTCGAACTCATTTAGTGAACAAAATATCACCAGAAGTACAATTTTAGCAAGGAAATGAATACGGACCATCTACAGAGATCACAAATCACAGAGTGGTAAATATTCTTGGTTTAAATGACCATTCAGTTCACAGCAGGCATATATACCAAGTGAAGGTTAATGGAGTAGTTGATCCCAATTTTAATTCTGATCATTCTCTAACTAATCCTGATTCTGAAAATAAAAATCAGAATGCTAAACAATCGAGACCTAACAGAATTACAAACAAACTCATACTACATTATACACACATAGACAGACAATCATGTGGTGGATGTGGTGAATAACCAATACATTTACTGTACAGTTTAATTTTTGTTGTGTTTTAACCGACCATAATAATACAATACAATTTCATACTGGGTACTTCGAATTTGAGTTCTTGATTATGTCTCGTCGAGGTTCTAGACTTAATTAATACTTAAAGCCGGAATTAATACTGCTGCATTATATTATTTCAAATTCACATAGTTACATTAACTATGCAGATCTGAAGATAGATAGACAGGTTTTCTAAGAGTTATAATTTTACACGACGTAAACAAAATAATTTACTGTATAAAACAACCGAAATTTATAGAAAATCAGTATTTAGATTAGTTTATTGAATAAATAAAAACTAGATTAGAGAAATTTACTGATTAAACCTTAACTTCATGGATGATGATTGAGTTTAGGTTCTTCATTAAAGATATTGTACTGATAATTTTATTTATTTAAGCACATAAATATTGGTACAAAGGGAAACAAGATACATAAGCGCCACACAAATCTCATGAGTATTGTACATTTCTAGCGTTCTTGTTTGGGATTTTTCATCATTTTTCACCAACTTTTTTGTCTTCTGATATCTGTTCATTATTTGACTGGTCGTGTCAGCAATTAGGCTTTGATGAATAACCGTCATTTAGCCACCTTTTTCTGTCATAATAAAAGTCTACGACTATTCAGTGATAATAATGATGGGTCATAGTTGTAGCGTTCCTGACGAATACATTTTGTGATAAGTTTCAGTCAGTCAGCTACAACGTAGGACCAGGCACACATATGCATCGGTTCAAGTTGCCATACCTCATTAGCACAACAAGATGAACACCGAATTCATAGAAGTAGTTAATTTGGTGGTGGTAATATATAAAAGAAAGATTGTACATAAGGACATAGTACAGGAGGAAAGACAAATATGAAGCAATTTTAATCTCAAGGTTTAAGGGAAGATAATGAGTGTATACACTTACGCCATTGTGATCGATTCTGAGCCATGTCACCTAGAGTCTCCAACCATTGGTTACGATAGTCACGCGGACCCCAACCAAGTAGCCTGCACCTACCAACATGGCTCAGACTAGGAGTTAATGACTTCAAGCACTGATACCACGTTTTCGTTTGGTCGCCCCTAAATCTCTTCCAACCATCGACAATACTAGTCAGCATTGCGCGTCGTAGTAATCGGTGTTCGGGCACACGTAACACGTGGCCCAATCATCTCAGTTGATAAAGATCCACAACCTCATAAAATGATTTACCATCATTCCCTAATATCCTGCGTCTAACTTCACTATTACTTACCCGGTGATCCCAACAGATGTTCGCAATATTTCTAAGGTATCTTTGGTCAAATACTAATAACTTACGAATATCTTATACTCTTAATGGCCACGTTTTGCAGCCGTAAAAAAGAATAGAGCGAACTGCTGCGCAGCATACTCGTCCCTTATTTGATAGACGGATATCTCGTCTTCGCCATAGGTGACGTAAGTTGGCAAAAGCCAAACAAGCTTTTGGAATCCGTGCCAACATTTCGTCAGACACCAACACATTAGGGCTGATCAGACCAAGATAAGTGAAGTTGTCCACGCGTTCGACTACTTCACTCCCTATCCTTAGTTCAAGTGTCGACGCAGGCCAGTCCTGGAGTAACAATTTACATTTGGAGAGGGAGAAACGCGTTCCAAGTATCCTGGCATTGTTACTCAGTGCTAACAGAAGACTCTGCATTATATCAGCGTCTTCACCAAATAGGATTATATCATCTGCGTATTCTAAGTCGATAAGTGGACCTCCTGGTAGGAGATCAATTTCCGAAAACTCAGTCTAGGAGAGTGTTATTTCCAGCAATAGGTCTATGATGAAGTTAAACAAAAATGGGGATAGTGGACAGTCTTGACGGACACCAATTGAGTTTGTAAAATAAGATGACAGTTCGCCATAAGCTCTCACTCGACTAGTAGTGTTGGAGTAAAGAGCCTTCAAAAGGCTTATGTACTTCTGAGGTACGCCTTTCAATGACAGACACTGCCACAGAACCTTTCGATCTATAGAGTCAAATGCTGCTTTCAAGTCAAGAAAAACTATCATTGTCGGACGCCGATAAACATGTCTGTGCTCTAACACCTGACGAATAGTGAATATGTGGTCGATGCAGCCACTACCAGGTCTGAAGCCAGCCTGATTTTCTCGTGTTTGCAATTCACGAGTCTTAGTTAGGCGCTCGATATTTATTGAGGCAAGTATTTTACGTGCTATGTCAGTCAGCCTAATCCCTTTATGATTATCACAGGATGATTTTGGTCCCTTCTTATACATTGGGACAATAAGTGATTGTGAACAGTCGGATGGGATTACGTCCAACTCTCAGATTTTAGCCAAAATATTAGTCAACCTAGTCGCCACCACCATATTTAAAGACCTCTGGAGCCAATCCATCTGCTCTTCATCGTTTCAGGTTAGTTATAGCCTCTTGAACCTCAGCTAGAGTTTGGGGACCTACTTCAATGTTCCATTCAGACTGTTTGGGAATGGTGGGTAACTGCATAGTAGCTGGAGGTCAGCCAAACTGTTCTCTAAAGTGTTCTGTCCACCGTTCTAAACATCTGGGCTGAGAGCAGATAAGGATTCCGAGATTGTTTCGCTTACACTTGACTTCTTAATTTCGGTTTCTTATATTAGTCTGAAGAGTTATCTGGTGTTGCCTACAGCTGCTGCCTTTTCCATCTCTCTTGATTTCGTTGCCCACCACTGCTCACGATCGTTTCTTAGACTTTTGTTAAACCTAGATTTGATTTGTTTTTGCCCTTCTTCGTGTTCAGAGCCTGATGGGATGAGTTTACGATAATCCATCAGTGCTCAAATTAAAGCGGGATCAGAGTCTAAACATATATTCCAGTACGAGTGACAGTCTTCTATCGAGCCTCTCCAACGATGGCTGATGGCAATATGGTCTATTTGAGTCCATTGTTGGTTTGGTGCAGGTGGTCACCATGTTAGACGAAGTCTCTCCTTATGCTTAAAATTAGTGTTTGCCAAAAATAAACGATTGTCTGAGCATAGTTGCAACAGACGATCACCATTGTCTGTTCGCTTAGCTGGAATACTAAAATACCCATCTAAATATCTTTCTGATTGGTTTAAGCTACCTACTTGGGCATTTAAGTCATCTGCTACGAGTACTATGTCTGAGCGCTTAGCTTTTTGAAGAAGTTTAGGGAGCTTTCTGTAAAAGTCATCTTTCACTTCATCCGGGCTGCAGTTAGTGAGAGCATAGGCAGAAACGACGAAAAGGCAACGACGTGTGTCCCTATTCTTTCGAGTTCTTACGGAGCCATTTAGCCGGACAGCACACAGGCGACCGTTAACGGGGATCTAATAGTGCTTGTTCTGCCCTCGCACTAAGTGCTATGCCTACACCTGCAAGTCTACGAGAACTAGCTATCGGGTCGCCAGATGCACGGAGGGTCTATTTCGTCGGCTGTCCATTTTGGCGAGGTGAGTTAAGTGAATGACCACACTAGGATCCTGTATTCGTGTTTTGGAGACACAGCATACATCAATGGTACGTGATTCCAGGGTCTTAACGATGAAGATCTGCTGGTCGACTTGACTTAGGGTATGTACGCTGAAGACTCCAATGTGTAGTTTGGAGCGATGTTTCAGTAGACCTGGGACAGTGTTTCGCGCACTAGAATCGTTGGCCATGGCAACACTTGAGGAGGAAGCTGAAAGAGGAAGTTTAGTGTCGAAAGTCGAGGTGGGAGGAGTGATAGGAATTGAAGGAGATTGATTATGAATACAGTGATCTTGTGTGCTGTTACAGGTATGAAGGCAGTTATCAATTCCCGGTCACACACACTGTGGAAGGGTTCTTATAGAGGTACCTGAAAAGAAAATTGGATTAAAAGTGGTCTTAATGACCTGAGAGCATGACCGCAGTGCCCAAGGGACAACTGCTTGAGGTCGGTCACGCACGGCCATTTTGTGGGGGATTTTTGACGTGTTAGCTCCGTTCTTCAAACGTCCTTACCGCCGGAGACGGAAATCCGTGGGATAAGGCGAGGTGTGCATTTTTGGGATCGACCTTTTCTAACCCCATCCCTCCTTGTGGGAAGGCAGCATCGCTGTCACGCTGGTTGTCTGAATTTTTTATTTATTTAAACACATAAATAATGGTACAAGGAAGCACCAGATAAATATGCGCCTCACAAATCTCATTCGATTTTTGTGAGGGCTGTGATACTGCCCAGGTGCCCAGACTGAAGCAGGTGGTTTTCTTAGGGGGCCACACCCGGAGCCTTTGACCTGAATGTCTGATCCACAAGGCAGTGGAGCATCGTGAGGAGATGCAGTCCCATGGTAGCCGGTGATCAACGGTTGATTCGTACGCCATTTGTTCCCTCATGATACTGGAGCCCATGTGCACCACTGGTTTGGAGTCAGGGTTTTCCAACTCCCCTAGGTGAACTTTCCATGTCCACCAACCCGGTTAAAGCGCCGGACATTCGCTTTTCGTTCCCTCACTTTCGTAAACAACACCCCCGCCACGAGAAGGCAGTGAGTAGGACTCCCCTGGCAGAGGCTATATATTCGCTGGCCATATGAGAGCATTTCGAGAGGGAGAGGTGACTCTCCCCACTCTCGGCCGTACCAGGGCATTTGGGGCATTGTTGTCTGAAGGAAACACCTTACTGCCGTCACACCTCTGTACAGTCGGCAGTACGACTTCGCCTTCGGACCTTGAGATTGCTGCTTTTAGTCTTACCGCTCTTCAGCCAGCCAGCATAGCTCGATTGGATTATCACGATAGGTAAGCCCGACCACCACGTCAAGGTAGCAGCAACGGTCGGGACCACCTGGCGGTTGCCAAGACCCCGAATAACATGGCTCAGAATCGTTCGCAATGGTTTGGGTGTATTCACACTCTGTTTTCATCTCCACCTGTAGCTCATCTAAAGTTAATGATGGTCCCAAGCCCGGACAATGGAGGAGAGTTGGGAATGGGGTCGGCAACCCCATCCCACAGAAAACAACCTTGATAAAAAAACGTTAAAATTAAGAAACAATTTAAACCATTTAAACTTTGCCTTCCGAGGTGAGGGGTCTTCATATTAAAAGAATTATGATGCCTCGGGATGAAAGTCGAGATCTTTCGAAAGTCACGAGGCCAATGCCCTTTCTAACAACCAGAGCAACAATTAATATAGGTACATGGAATGTTCGGACCATGCGGAACACGGGGATGATCAATCAAGTAGCTACGGAAATGAGGAGATACTTGTCAGTTTTCGGGATCACTGAAACACATTAGACCCAAGCTGGACAGCAAAGGCTAGATACGGGAGAGATGCTGTTTTACTCCGGTCACGAAGAGGAAAATTCTCCACATACTCAGGGAGTAGCTCTGGTGCTGTTCAAAGAAGCACGAACAACACTTATACGATGGAAATCTCATGGATCTAGGGTCATTAAGGCATCATTCAAAACAAAGGGAGAGAAAATCACAATGAATGTTATCCCCTGACATGCACCCACCAATGACGGCAACGACGACGGAAAAGATCAGTTCTATGAGAGGCTGATACCAATCATAACAAAGTGCCCAAGAAAGGATCTCATCATCCTGATGGGAGATCTAAACGCCAAAGTCGGAATGCACAACACCGTACATTAAGATATCATGAGACGACATGGACTGGGAGAGAGAAACGAAAATAGGGAGAGATTTACAAACCTATGTGCATCCAATAAATTGGTTATAGGCGGTACAATATTCCCACACAAACCCACATGAGTCTCACCGGATTACACAATACAGAATCAGATAGATCATATTTGCATCAATAAAAAATTCACAAGATCAATGAAAGACGTGAGAACCAGGAGAGGATCTGACATAGCTTCAGATCGCCACTGACTGGTGGTTGCCGAGATGAAACTGAAGTTAAAGAAACACTGGACAACTGGTGGAACAGCATCACAAAGGTTCAACACAGGCTACCTTTGAGATACTGACAAGCTCAATGAATTCAAGATAACTCTCAACAAAAGGTCCCAAGCTCTACGAAATCTACTGAGAGAACAAGAAACTACTATGAAGGACAACTGGAAATGGATCAAATAATCATTAGCTTCAACGTGTCAGAAGGTGCTGGTTCGCAACAAGCGTCATCATAAGGAATGGACCTCTACGGGAACAATGGACAAGATTCAAGAAAGGAAGAACAAGAAGACAACAATCGAACACGAGCAGAGAAAGTCAAGGCGCAAGCAGACTACGCAGAAGTAAACAGGCAAGTTAAGAAGAGCATTAAAGTCGACAAGCAGAAATACATGGAAGAACTAGCAACGACGGCAGAAAAAGCTGCAAAAGAAGGGAATATGAAACAATTATATGATACGACGAAGAAAATATCAGGGAGATATAGTAAACCAGAGAGATCAGTCAAGGACAAAGAGGGAAAGACAATCACGGAGATTGAAGAGCAGAGGAAAAGATGGGCAGAATACTTCAAGGAATTGCTGTATAGACCAGCTCCATTGAATCCACCAGACATCGAAGCAACACACACAAACATTCCTATAGATGTCACCCCACCAACGATGGAAGAAGTCAAGATGGCCACCAGACGAGTCAAGAGTGGGAAAGCGGCTGAATATTTGAGAGATTATTAGATTCTAACCATTCATACGATATCCAGATTTGATTATAGTTTAACTCCTCCTAGAAATAAAATATGTGCTTATTTGGGGGTCGGTTGGTGAATTGAAGCAAACAACTCTTCATACTGTTACTTTAGAATAACGGTGCCAACCAGACTCAAAAAAGAGCGCGGAACAAATGTTTCTCAAAGCTGCCACACCACAGTATTGTGAGGTGGAATAAAGGAGACAAATAGCGAAAACGTTAAAACAATAGTTGCTAATGATAAAGACCAAACAGTGAAAAATACGGTTTAGCAAGAATTCTTGAAGTCGAAGAGTAAAGGCATGAAATGCTACTGGAACTTACGTCACACTTTATTTTTCTTACGTCCTACTTCAGTCATTGAGCACTGTGTTGCGTAGTCGGAAATACGTAACACATACCGAGACCTTCATATGAAGTTTTACAAGCTTATTAGTGAATTTGCTATGTTTACTTAGTACTCTGAACCTAACTACTTCGAAAGCACCTGTGGTCGCAAATCTGCAGCTTATTCCTATTTCTAAAGCATGTACTTCACAAACGGTATAATGAACAACGGACTGCTGAGCAGTCTGTGTTGCTAACAAATTGACATCTAAGCTCCGTCACATGTGACACAAGTTGGATGACCAAAATGAACAATACGCTCAATTACTTCATGCCCTATGACAATTCTAGGTGTTAACCCAAACCAATTTTGAAGCAACATTTTATACTTGTGGAAGAAATGCATCCTAAACATGAATTGCTAACTGTATTTCAAAGACATGTATTATACAATAACGAAATAAGTAAATGCTTGAAAATATCAAAGTCTAAAGCCAGGTACATGACATTTCGTATCTAAATACATCAGTAAGAGATGTTCACCTTTTTTAAACACGACAGGAATGTACTACCTTTAGACGATAAGAATGAGAAACTAGTCCTTATTATCATAGTTAAGTAATTAATACTCTCGGACTAACAGCAACCACTATGATCTCGTTTATACCACACAGATGATATATTAAAACATAAAACCCATACTGCATAAAATATATTTTTATTTGTTTGTGAAAAAATTATTTACATAGTGGCAGAACCACAATCTATGAAATTTGACAAGCTAGCACAAAATACACAAAAATAATAGATAATATATACACTTTAACCTTCTATCAAAATAAAGTTACATATTCTTGGTGTTTATATCACACACCTAAATTATAAACACAAGCTGAATCAATAAGTGGAACTAAATCATCTTTAGAATTGAAACCTTTTGGGAGTACCAACTGCGGGAGGAGTTTTTGCAAAAGACTTAGCACAAGATGTCGTAAATTACTGAGGCAGTGCTCAGGATCTGGACACAAAGAAACAACGGGATTATTTTTGGGGGGATCCAATTCCTTGTTACTTTCAGAGGAGTGACCTAATTCCAAGTTTCTTAAAATGTAAGAAAAAAGCTTATCGACATTGGGAGACTGAGGATCGAATTTAGTGTGCTGAAAGTGAGGTTCAAGTATATTTAGTAGGCGCAGGGTTTGATATCTAAGCTCTGCAGATGCTCGATGTGCGCTCATATGCCGCCAAAGTGTCAATTTTTCATCCGATTCTTGACAAGCAACCAACCAATTATTAATACGTTGAGTAAGTTGATTGAGGGCATCGTTAGCGAGGGCTGTAAGCTGATCTGAATACTCAGGTTCCATGAAAAGAGGAGGGAGATCAATAGGCAAGGCGTCCGACGAAGTGATACTCACCGGATAAGTGACTTCCAAGCTGTCCACGAAGTCAAAAGTATATAGTTTTCTTTCACTATTGTCCTCCATTATATTCAGGAAGCCAAGTTGGTAGGTTTCATGAATAGTTATTATGTGGTTTTCTGTAGGATCATTCATCAATTCGTATTCTTTTTTTAGCGGCAGTTTATTGCCTAAATGCTTCTGGTATCCATTAGTATGAGTACATTCGTTGTTTGAGATCTCAGAACTGACCGTTGAAATGCACTCTTGTCCTTTAGCAGATAATCTCGGCTTTTTACAAACAGTCCTTTCACCTTCAAAGTATATATGGTTTCTTTTGTTTCCGGAACTTTTGAACACACACAATGATGTATCACCAAAGTCTCTCTGATCCCACTTGTCTTGATGCAACGTAGCATTCATAACAATATTTGTAGAACAGTCCTATAGCAGAATAAATTGAGAAACACTTGGTTAAAGCAGCCCTACTTGTATAATTACTGGCAAAACCAGGCAAGCCCGCCAAAATAATTTAATTTGAAACACGCGCAATCGTTGGTCACTCAAAGTAAAAAAATGGTGTTTTTCGAAGATTTTAAATAAATGCTTACTCACTGTAAGAAGCTTTGACCATTAAATTTCAGTGAAGAGGTTGAGAGAACTCACAGTTTGTTAGGTGTAAATAACGCTGTATTTTGTTTAGTAGTTTTAGAACGCCTTTTTATGTACTTTGTTCAGGTTAAATCGTATACCTTATGTATTTTTTAAACTTGTGTGTTAACAGCCAGCTTGTGCTTTAACGACTTTCCTTGGTCGTAAGTCTCCTTCTTGAGTTCATGACAAGTCAACATAGAGAGATTATTTGCCAAAGCCCAGGTTATCAAAATTTTGGTGAAAAGCTATGTTTTATGATGAGTTAAAATAGTGGGACTGTAAAGCTCGAACCAATTTGACGATTTGAGCTCTTAATAGGTGTAGTTGTCTCAGTCGCTAATTTTTATGCCAAAAAAGTCAATTGTATTCTGAAGGTTTAACATCAGAAGCTATTGGAAGCTACTGGGAATGCATCTGTTAGCTTTCCTCCATGCATCCAGTCAACAACCAGAAGAAAGAGAAGAAACTAGAGTGGTCAATCTTGTCTGGCTCCGGTTTTTACTTGGAATGCATCTGTGGGCTGTCCTCCATGCACGACTTTGCACTGTAATCCGTTCTATGAGTTCTGGATAATGTTGACAATCTTCTGAGGAACTTTATGGTGTCAAAGAAGTTTCCATAATGTTTTCCTATCCACACTGTCAAATGCTTTCTCATAGTCAATGAATTTGATGTATATTGACGAGTTCCACTAAACTGGTTGCACAACGATGATCTATGGTGTCTCAACTTGGTCTGTGGACGACCGATGCTTACGGAATCCAACCTGTTGATCTCGAAGTCGAGCGTCTACTGCGTCTTTCATCCGGTTCAGCAACACTGTTGTAAAATTTCTCTGGTACTGACAGTAGTGTGATGCCCCTGTAGTTCTCACATTTGCTAAGATCTCGTTTATTTGGTATATTGATGAAGCATCGTTCCTTCCAGTCTGTCGGCACTTGTTTCTCCTCCCAAATCTTCCTGAATAGAACGTTAAGCATGCTTGGAGTTACTTCAATGTTTGACTTGATTCCTCCAGCCGGTATATTGTCAGGTTTTGCTGCTTTCTCGCTGTTAATTTGTCTGATGGCCATCCTGATTTCTTCGGTCGTTGGTGGAGTGATATCTGTAGGAATGTTTGTGTGTGCTGCTTCGATATCCGGTGGATTCAATGGGGCTGATCTAATCACGAATTCCTCGAATTGTTTCACCATATCTCCCTCTGTTCTTGAATCTCAGTGATTGGTTTGTCTTCTTTGTCCTTAACTGGTTTCTCTGGTTTACTATATTTACCTGCTAGTTTCTTCATTGTATCATATAGTTGTTTCATATTCCCTTCTATTGCAGCGTTTTCCACCGTCGTTGCTAGTTCGTCCATGTATTTCTGCTTGTCGGCTTTAATACTCTTCTTCACTTGCTTGTTTGCTTCTGCGTACTCTGCTTGCGCCTTGATTATCTCTGCTCGTGTTCGACTGTTGTTAATTGCTGTCTTCCTGTTCTTCCTTTCTTCAATCTTGTCCAGGGTTTCCATAGAGATCCATCCCTAATGAGAATGCTTCTTGCTGTCAAGAACCTCTTGACTTGTTGAATTCAGAGATTCTTTGATCCCTTACCAGTTGTCTTCCATAGTAGTTCCTTGTTCTTTCAGTAGATCCCGTAGAGCTTGGAACGTGTTGTTGATAGTTATATTGAATTTGTTGAGTTTGTTAGTATCTCGAAGTAAGGCTGTATTGAACCTTTGTAATGCTGTTCCTGTAGTTGTCCAGTGTTTCTTTAACTTCAGTTTCATCTCGGCAACCACCAGTCAGTGGCGATCTGAAGCTATGTCAGATCCTCTCCTGGTTCTCACGTCTTTCATTGATCTTGTGAATTTTTTATTGATGCAAATATGATCTATCTGATTCTGTGTTGTATAATCCGGTGAGATCCATGTACGTTTGTGTAGAAATATTTTTTTGCTTCTTTGGACAGCATCACATCAAGTCACTGAGTGTGTGGAGCATTTTCCTCTTCGTGACCGTAGTAAAACAGTATCTCTCCCGTATCTAGCCTTTGCTATCTAGCTCGGGTCCTATGATTTTTACGGATTTATAGGACTGGCAATTTGTATTGAGTTTGCCATTGGTTCTGTAGTCTGACAACACTTTACCAGCACCACCTTCTTCAATTGAATCGCATCCACACAATGATGTCAAACGTCAGAAGCGAGGTGATTGGAAGATATATTTGATACATTATCAGTATATCGAGAAGCAACTGTTCTAAACTGGCAAGTGATCTTAGGGGAATATGAACATGGCGTTCCCTTTCTTGATCTGGTGCGGATGCATGATCGAGCCCCTTCAGCTAGGTGAGTCCATTAAAACTAATATGGTCAGCATCAAATGTCGAACACCTACAGAGCTATTTATTTTCGGGATTTATTTACCGCTACAGATCACTTCCCCCTATTGGAGTAGTGATGACCCTAAGGCTTGGCCAGCCAGAAGTTTAAAGCCAATGAGTTTGTCGTTGGTGAATATTTTTCTGATGTGTTTGGTAGTGTCTGGTCGTCTTTCCTTATTATAAGGGACCATGAAGTACAATATAGTAATAAAAAACAAAGTAAAGAAACTCATGAACCTGAGAAAACATAAAAACGATTAAAACAAATTTTTGTTCGGATGTTTTTAAGGAAAAAAAATTAATTAAACACATTAAACATATTAAAACTAATATGGCCAGCATCCAATATCGAACACTTACAGAGCTATTGATTTTGGGGATTAGTTTACCGCTACAGTATCTCCTCATTTTCGTTTCTATTCAACGGGTCATCTTGGTCTTCCACATTGTCTGGACGTTCCATGAAATTATATTAGTTTTTACTCTGGTTGTTAGAAAGGGCATGGGCATCGTGACCTTCGAAGAATCTTGGTTTTCATCCTGAGGCATCATAATTCTTCTAATATGAAGACCCTTCAACTCGGTAGGCAGAGTTTAAATGGTTTAAATTGCTTTTTATTAATGTTTTTATCAAGGTTGTTTCATACGGATTCGGGATTTCGACTGCGTTGCAATCCCTTTTTTTCTGTGGGTTGGGGCTCAACAGTAGCTCTAGAATAGCTACAGATGGAGTTAACGTGAAAGTACAAGGAAACAATTTTTGGGGTTGGCAATTCGATTACTTTCGACTGTTGTCAATCAAAAATGATCTTTTGCTGTAAGTATACTTTTTAGAGTCAACACGCTACGATGTTTTTTGACTAATGAGAATCCATAACGCTATGTTTATTGACTGTATATAAATTTCCCATACGCCCTCAAGCTTCAAGCCATTATGTATTCTCTTCGAAAGTTGTACTCGGCATCTCAGTGATTGACTTGAAGTCAAAACCAGGTTATTTGGTCTTCCGTATAGATGATTTTATGAAATGTTTACAGGGCCCTATAAAGTTTGGTTGAAGTGACTTACAAGATCATTAAAACTTAATCAATGGATTCATGTCTATCCTGTTGGTCTTTGCTACAAAGCTGGGGTGAAAGTTTAATCTCAATTCTGTTTATATAATCTTTTAGCACAACTTAGAGGACGGAATATCTAGTATTGACACCGGTCACAGACAATTACAGAAAACACTTCAGGTTAATTTTACAACTTAATGTTATGGAATTTTCATCATCGAGGCTTTCTATTTCAGCTTACTATTAACCAAGTAGAACTCAACATTTATCGTCTTTTGGTGCATTTTCGAGAAAAATCTGTTCAGATCAGTTACTTTTACTTGTTATCTGCCTGAAGTTCATTAGGTGTACAGTATTTCAGTACAAGCATGTTTACTGAGACATGACTTCACACATAGGAACATTTTTGCAACCCGATAAAATCTTTGTCTTTTGGCGCTCAAAAATTGTATGTATGATTTTAATTTGTCGTATTTGGCATGTTGTCTATTAATACTCAGAACTATATAATTTTTACTCTAGCATTCAAGTATGGACCAGTGTTAAAGTAAGGGAGGACTCCATCAACACAATCAAAAGTATTGTATTTGGAAACCAGATCAGGAAAGGAGTAATGTACCAAGAAATTATTTTTATATTTAAACAATTGAGTCTCGTGCTTCATTAACACTTATCTAGCTGTGTTATGACTTGGATAAATATGTGGAATTACGGTCTAAGTTCGTTATTAGTACTGCTCTAATAATAGACCTAATCCCCAAATTGCGGATTTGTCATGATATGACTACCTAATCTTTAAGATTTTACGTGGAAGTCACATCATTGTTTACACTGACTTATCGTATCGTGACAGTCAGCAATATGATACTTAATACTTCTGAAGAACACTTTTAGACTAAAGGTAGAATAATATATTTAATGTGAATAAATACAGGTTATACAGAATGACCACGTCTGCGAGGCTGAGCCATGCCATTCGAGTGAATTGAATATTCCTGAGTTCACCACTGTTGGCCTTCTCTCCGTGTTCAATGTTGAATATCTATTTTCCCAGTTATCTCATATTCAGCTTTGAGGATTGTGTGGTTAAAACCATTACTACTAAAAATATATTCATCAGGTTTCTAGTAACCACATCACCAGCTCTTATTATAGATAAAGTGTCTGTTCTAGCTCTGACCACACAGATGTCTGTAGATAACTTAGTTAGAAGTTATGTCTTTGTTTTTCTAGGGAACGTTCGAATTTCCATCCAACTAGTTTATGGGATATCGTTTGTATTGGAACGAACAGAGACTGGTTAGAGTTCATTGCCGAAGTATATTTTTGATAGTAAATAAATAAATAAGAGAATATGATGTAAAAATCTCCCCGTAGATCTTTCATCCACATGTTTTCAATCTTTTGAATTTGACTAGAACTTTAATAATGCCCATTAAACGATCATCACATTAATAGTACCGTATGCAAAATACTATCGCT